TCACTTTACAAACATTGACTCACCAGCCTGTAACTGTGGTCATGAAAATGAAACCCCTACTCATTTTTTCCTCAAATGCCCCCAATTTGTAAATGATAGAATCCAACTACTTATAGATCTCCATATTATTGGTTGTTTAGAAAAATTCTTAGATGCTAACTCTGTTAGCAAAGTAAATATGCTCTTGTATGGTAACAGTGAACTTAGTAATGAAGATAATACACTTCTGCTGAAAGCAACTTTAAAATTCCTACAAGCAACCAAGATTGACTAACATGTATATTACACCATCCCATAATTTACACCACTGCACACCTTTTTTGTAAAGCATCCCAATATCAGCTTTAATTGTACTTTTTCCTTTTTGTTTATATATGAATAGTTACGAATAATTGTAACAAATTTGTATTGCATATAAGTGTATGGTATATTTACTTCGAAGTTCAACACAAATGTTAAATTGATTAACCTTGTTGAATTTTCATTGTATGAAATTAAATGTTATAATATATGAACTTGAAATAAAAATGATTAATAAAAAAAACAAAAACATATAATATATTTGTTCTCTCATTAATATGCTACTGATCTCCAGATGGCAGGTATTTAAATTAATCCAGTTGTTTCTTCCATTCTAACTTATTAACAAGAACACAAACGTGTACAATATGTCCATACCAATGGGTGGTCCTTGAGTTTTTATCCCCAATGCCCAATTCTTTAATCAGTTGAAAATACAAGATTTTCGGTAAAAAAAATCAAAATGGCAACATCAGCCACGAAAGCCCCAAAACTAATCAGTTTGAGATTTTCATACAAAGAATCACATCTGAAAAGTTGAATTCGATCTTTCAAATGGTTCATCTGTAAATGTGTAGATAAGTCTTTGCACACAAGATTCAGGATGGAAGATCCAAAATGATCGCCTTATCATTTACCCAGAATGCTTAAAATCATCCCTGAAAATTTTAAAGTTGACATGGCAGATTGATATTAAGTTAAAGTTCAGCATGTATCCAAATTTCAGTGTGATAATTTGGATCACTAGTCGAATTATGAAGCAAACAAGTGAATGTCTATGATCCCTGTATGTTCATGTATAACTCAGTAATACTATGTATGCCAGATAATCCATTTGAGCATCGCTATATCAAAAAACTTCATTAAATCCAGCAGCAGAAAAGACATGCTAACTACTGTACTATATTCATCATGTTCATGTACCCATTGTGTGAATTCAATATCAAGTGTGGTCATTTCCATAAAGATTATGAAGCATGTAAATTTGAGATTTTAGAGATAAAGTATGTAAAGGTATTAACCACATGCAATTTAGCACTTATGGATTTTCATTTAGGTGCGGAAACCGACTTTTGTCAACAAGTGATACTATATAATTTCATTGTTACCAGCCAGCCCGAAAAAATATACAGTAAAACCTGCGAACAGGGAATGCTCTTGGGACTGAAGGAAAGTTTCCTTGTTCAGAGGTTTTCCCTACAGAGAGGGGCCGCACTTTCAGCAAACTCAAAGTTGCCGAATAAGCATATTTGTATATATATTGATTGATTGTACAAATGCCGGCTCCATACTTGGTTACGTTCTCCCCATGTTGATTTTAGCTGCTGCTAGCGTCTGATGGTGTCTAGTTGATGTAATTATTGATATGATGTGTAGAGATATATTGCTAAGAACTGAATTTCAAGTTTAATCAACCCCATTTTATATTATTGATAATCTAGAAGTTTGGATCAGTAAAAGATTTAAAGAGATTTGGCTCAACATGACCATGTACTTATCTGGTATCTCCATAAAACAATCGTGTCAGTCCCTAGATTATCAAAACTGATTTGATGCAATTAGGTTTTTGAAAGGAAGAATTAGTGTCATGATAATAAGTAACAAACAGATTAGTATTAGTTTTAAAATAAATCAGGGTAATTAACAGTGGGTGGCATGCTACATCAGGTAAACAATTGGCTCATCTTAATCTCAATCATATTAATCCAAACTTTTTATATATAGATATTGGTTTAAGACTTTCACACCTCTGAAAAATAATGGAATATACAGTGTCACCAATATTCCATATTCCTTGTTCACAGGTGAATTTTCATAATTTACCCCAAAATAGTGTTCCTTGTTCCCTGTTCATAGGTTTTCCCTACAGAGAGGGTCCGTTAACATGTGAGTCAATGGAAAAATATTCGGTTCTTTTGAAAAGCATTCCTTGTTCATAGGTTTTCCCTACAGAGAGGTATTCCATCGGACAGGTTTTACTGTATAATAAATAAAAGTGATAGTTTTGATAAAAGTTAAATTACCAAAATTAGCAATAGATTTGATAATTATCAATTGTTTTTATAAATTATCAGATAATGCTAATTTCACACGGGCCCTTTTCTATGAAACATTTGCTAGAAATAGTTATCAATAAAAGTGATAGTTTTGATGTAACTAAAATTATAACTGTTAGCAATAGTTTTGATAATTATCAATATTATCTGATATTATCATATGAACATTTGTCCTAACTTTCTTGATTTAGAGAAAATATGACGATTAGCAAGAGTTTTGATAATTATCTAAGTTTATTATCTATTTTAACTTGGGCAACATTTGCCCAAGACCACAAAAAATGTTAGTGATAAAAAAGTGCTGGAGGAATAATTGCCATTAACGATAATACTCAAATCACAAGGGCTTTAGCATGTTCAAGGAAAACAGTTTTTCAGATTTAGTCTTTATAAGAATAAGCGAAACTTGTGGCAATTTTTGATAAAAGCTACCATTCAAATGACATGGGGCTGGAAAAATTAGCAAATAAAAGTGACTTTCCGCACCTACCTCCATATTTCCCTGCCATTAAGAGTCGACCCTTTTAATGGAATGATAAATAATTCTGATATAGTTACAAAACAAAAAATGAATGGTTTTATATTGGTCATTTTACAAAAATATAATTCAACACTACGCCATATGTTTTTTTCATTTTCATAAAATATATACTGAAGGATTTAAACTACTGACTGCAAACTTCTATGATATTTTCAGTAAGGGAACTTTTTATATCAATTGGAATTCACATCTGTCCTTACAAATTGATAGTTGTGGAAAAAAGTAAGTAAATTTAATCAAATGTTTTACCATTACCCCCCCCCCCCCCTCTCCAAATTAAATTGAGTTAAGGTTGGTTGTCCAGCCCCAGGGTTCAACATTATAACATGAGGAGCTTCACTTTTCAAAATATACAGTCAACATTTGTAAGGGAAACAACAAAGATATTTAGTCCACATTGAAAAGAATGTGAAGGATAATTTAAGTTTGACAAATTATGCAAATATAAGTGTGGTCATACTAAAATTATAAAGCATGTCAATTTTAGATTTTAGAGATAAAGTATGAGAGCCTTGTAATTCAGCTCTTCCAGATTTACTCTGCATTAAACTTACAATGGAATGCTATTGATTCTGATATATTTACAAAAAATGACGTAACTTCATGATTTTCATCAACAATAGAATTCAACTATATCTAGTTCTTTTATTTTTTGCAAATCACAGCTTAAAACTAATGATTGCAAACTCCTCCAACATAATCATTTAATAGGGAAAATTCTATACACATATACCCTTACCAACTGCAAGTTGTGGAAAAGTTTGTAATTAATTTTTTTAGCATTGTTTACCCCCACCTTTCAACATTAAGCTGTCTCGAGGCTGTTTTGGGACATGTAAAGTTATGAAATCAGAGCTTCATTGTTTGTGATAATTGTTACTTTGACAAAATTATATAAAATTTTAAAGGGATACTAAGATACAATAGTTGATGGTGTCAGGTACAGATTGTATCACTTGATAAGGTTTTATGATTCTATTAGGCATGCATCTTGGGTGGGTTGAATCACTCAGTACCATCCTTTTACTTAACCCTTTATACTCCAGTTTGAAGCCACTTTTTAGTCATTCTTCTATCAAAATACCTAAACAGTGGCCTTTGTATCAGTCCACCTTTTAGTCATTTTAACCACACAATGACTAAACAATGGATAAGGCCACAGAGTCCACTAAATTGGAGCCAGCACACCTTTTAGAACATGCCAACATCTTCTGTATCACAAAGACACTATGCTAGCAGATTAATGGCACTTGATTAAGTAATTGTACATATCAATCTTTAATGGGGTTGGATTATGGCCCAGTAGGTCATGACCTAGTCAGGGTGAAAAAATGTTTCATCAAATATTGGAAATCACAAGGCCGTGATCACTTTGATTTTTTGCCCTTTAAGCTTTTTGGTCACTCAAATGAATCATATAAACTTGATGCCAAGATATTAAGGTACGTTATGATCCTATTTTTAAAAAAAATGGTTCATGAGAAATTGAGATAATTAAGAAAACTTCTCAAATTCTTCACATTGCTATTGCTCCATATTGATGTGGATGTCAAAAAAGAGACTGACACTGGTGTGTAGATATTCAAATGAGCTAGAGTATCATGCCATCTTTAATCCTTAATTTTGATTAATTACAGAGAAATATGCATGTAGGTTACTAGGTCGGGCCATTTTACAACTGACCCATACAGCGGTGGAAAATGGCCCATGCCATAGACTGATAAAGGACTGTGGACATGTATGTCTACACACATATGGTGCATGTATGTCAGAATACACATATAAGAACAAAGAACTTCTTCAAAAAGAGTTTACTAGAACTGTCTTCAATGCAATTACAACCATAAATATGGGAAATATAAGAGGTATTCCTCTTCTTCATTTTTAGTTAACAAACTATATCATATCATATAAGAGTATTTCATGTCATATCATGTAATGTCATGTCATATATCATATCAAACTATTTAATGTAATGTCATGTCATATATCATATCATATCAAACTATGTAATGTAATGTCATGTCATATATCATATCATATCAAACTATTTAATGTAATGTCTTGTCATATATCATGTCACATTATACTTTGATAAGTACCTGGCAAGTGTGTTATGTTCCTTCTTGGATGACTTCAGTGCACAATGGATGATGAACTGTGAGAAAACATCCCTCTGCAATAACAAAAAATATAATAATCTTAACTCATTAAACTTATTTTTAAGACACTGAAGCCAATTGGCAATTTCTGTGTTTTTTTTTATTATTATTATATCTTGGTTACCGCCGTATTTGGCGAGCAATAGCTCATTGGTATATTCCATATTTTACGTATTTTACACTCGAAGATAGAGCCAGAGACCCCTCTTTGGAGGAGCCCTGTTTTCTTACATACAGGTACACACCACAGCCTTTTATACAAACACCCAGAATTACATAACGCACAAACAAACTTGTCTGAACCGGGAATCGAACCTGGGGCCAAGCGATATTGGTAACCTTGACTCTCTCTGCCACTGAGCCATAGCGGGTGGATCATTGAGTCAAAGTACATGAGCAAAGTACATGAGCAAAGTACATGAGCAAAGAACATGAGCAAAGTACATGAGCAAAGTACATGAGCAAAGAACATGAGCAAAGTACATGAGCAAAGTACAGGATGAAGTCGGGGTACAGAAGTTTAGAAATAAAACATGATTATCTATGAACTTCTATTCTCAACTTGAGATGATATTTTTTAATTTTGTAAAGACAATGAGTGCTTTGATTACTGGAGATGTTATAAAATGTACATAAATATTTATTTCTTGTAAAATAAATTTTTGTAAATATTTATTTTGCCTTTTAATTTTGCCTATCATGCTTTTATTTGTCCTGTACTATCATTGATTACCTGAGCATTACTGCCACCTATCTTGACAATCTGATAACGTTTATTGATCATCAAATCCACAGCTTTGTCATACTCCTCGTTGTTGTATGCTGCAATGGCTTCACATATTGCAAGTCCAACCTCCTTACTAACATCACAGTTTGTTCCGCAGCCACTGCTACAATTAAAAGGAAGTATATTAATCGGTGACCATTATATTGAGGATGTGTATTTTTCAGACTTTTTTCGATATTCGGTTTATAAGAGAAAAACAATTTTGGATTTAGTTCACCAGTCATTTACTGTTATAGAACCCTTATAAAGGTAAATATCCAAGTATGGCCGAGTATTCTTATATTGTTTCATTTTAAAAGTACATCGTGACTATTACCTGGCATATTCCCGAAGTGAGTCCAACATCTCATTAGCCGCTTTTGATTCATTGGCCCCAAAGCAAGACATTAATACATGTGCATCGTTAAACGCTAGGATGTGGTCCTTCTGGTGGGGTTTACATGTTTCATACACCTCACGCCATCTATCTCCCACTGGGACACCTACAGCATAACATGCATATGGTGATCTGCAGTGTTTAGCATCTTTTGCATTTCATGAGTCTCCAATATACATGTAATATATTTTTGGAATTTTGAATTCATAGTAGATCTTGTATATACCTCATATGCAATATGTTTTTGTAACTACAGTATCTATAGTGATCAGAAATATACTAAATACGAATGAACAATTTTTGAACAATTTAGTTAACACTTATTCAATTTCTGATTTATCAATTCTGTTTTTATAACATAAAGATAAATGGGTAAGTTTTCTTGAAAAATAATTTCACAAACCTTCAAAGCTGAGTCTTGTTAACATAGATGATGCATCTACAATGTCCAACATGGCTCCAGATTTAATACAGCGAGGTCCGATCTACAAAATAATACGTTATAATTCAAGGATTGTATCATATCAGGAAATGTAACGGCACAGTAATGTGAATTACTCCTACTGCAGTTCATGTTAATGTACACTAACTACCCTACCCTATTACTAAATAGGATATAGAAAGCTGTATGCAATACAACACTATTGGTTTGAATGTATATTGATCTACCTCTGAATCAAATATATCCATGGCGCCTGAGGGTTCTCCCTTCTCTATGTGATACACTGCCCAGTGCCAGAAGTTATGACATGCCAACATACCACATGGCTAAAACAGATAAAACATCTTAAAAATAGTAGCTCCACACAGTTTCAAAATTGTATAGCAATACAATTATTCATTCAAATCAATTATTTTATTAACATATCAATTCATATTGAAAAACAAGACAAAAGGTGCAAAAGATAGCACCCTTTAATAAACCAAAAGGCAATATTATGGTGATTGTGCAGTGTGTTATTATTACAAGGGATTAAAATAATCAATGAAAGTTTTCAGACAAGACTTTATAAAACTTTATAAAAGACAAGATCTTAGAATGGAAAATCCATAATGACCTGATCTAATATTTTACCCAGAATAGCCAAAAACGTATAATTTCTAGGATTTCGTACCAAGAAGCATCCTTGAACCTTTGAAATTGACCCATAATGCCAAAAAATAAGCAGTTCTTAACTTTCAAACCAAAAAAAACATTCAGACAAAAAAATTCCAGATCAATTAATGAAATGGTTTGGATGGAAACCCAAAGAAAACATTTTTCAGGAAGGAAAATCCAAAATGGCTGCCTTAAAATTTACCCAGTATGCTCAAAATCTAATTATTCTACATTTTCAAACAAAGAAACATCACTGAAAATCTGAAATCTGGATTCCTCAAACAGTTTGCCTGGAGTCCGTTTTTGTACCGTTCGTAGTAACGAACGTTCGCAATTCGTAAATATTTAAAAAGTTACGAATGAGTTACGAATTCGTAAAGTTGCGAATGGATCATTTTTGTACGCTTTCGTAAGTCATTCGTAACTTTCCAATTGTTTAGAGTAAGAATTACGAATAGGTTGACGTCATATTCCACAGTTGTCAGGACAGATGGTACAACAAACAGGGTTGATCAAAATAATAAAACCAAAGTCATACAATAAGAATTTTATAAAAATAAAGATTCCATGAAAAGTACTAAAAAAGATATAGAAATAGGTTGATAATACGTTGATAATAGTGTTGCCCTTTGTGTTCTCTAATTAAGAATGACAAAACGTCACAAATCACAATATAAATGAATAAATAAGAGGCCGTTCGCAAAGTTACGAAAGGGTCAGAGGTGGTATTAAATCTACGAACGAAAACAGGCATGACGTCACTATTTTCGTAAATTTACGAATCGTTCGTAACTTACGAAATCTTACAAAAATGCAACTTTGTTAAATTCACAAATTAAACCATGGATTTACGAACGTTCGTTAGTAAGAACGGTACAAAAACGGGCCCCTGGTAATATGTAGACAAGATTAATTGTAATGCCTGCCTACACTCTGCCCACCAACCACCTGTCCTGCAAAGTGATCACAATAAAGAGCATTGTGATCACAATAAAGGGCACCCAATGGTGCAATAACAGCAAAGTAGAGGTTTTAATTCAGTGAAATGGTCAACCCTGCTCATTTAGTCAAACAACTGGAAGTAATATCACTTACGCTCCAATCATTCACTGTTGAACTCATAAAAGCTACACCGTCATCATGTCGTCCTGTCATTTCCAGAACATGGGCCATGGAATGTGTCGACCAAGCATCACGACTGTTGATATCAAGCCCCTTATAATGACGAAAATATTACATTTAGCATGGATAAGGAACATTAGCTGATTAAAACTAATAAATTGTATTTAAACTGGCTAAAGCATGTAATAGAATAGTAGGAATAAGCTAATACACAAAATGGTAAGTACTGTAAAGTCATTTTCCGTCAGCAATGAATGTGGCGTATAAGAATAATTGCCATTTTACATTTATGTCGCTATTCTGAGATAAATGCTCTCCCAATGACAGTTCAGACTGATAACCTAGGTATACTTTATGATATATATACCTTTGTACATCTCAGAAAAGAACACCAATAGCCTATAATATTAATGTGTAATTTGCTGGCTAGATAAATGGATTTTTACGTTTTCTCATAATTCAAAAATACCTACTTTGCATACATGTATATGCAACAAACTGATTAAAACTTGTTGTTGGCTTTTATCGATTTTTAATTTAAATCATCAGTTTTTGATTCAATTGTGCCTAATCTCATCATGCAAGGGTTATCATCATGTTCTTCTATTGCCATCATCAAACTTTGCATTCATATTTCCGAGGAATAATTTATGTTCATATTTCTGACTGATTTACGTAGCAGCTAGTTTAGAATCTGAATAATGGAAATGTTGTAGCATAGCCAGAATGAGGCAGATGAGGAATTATTTTTCGCCTTGTCGCTTTTCTTCCTGGCCATGCAACTGATTATTGTTGCTACTTAATGCTGGTCAGTATTGAAAAAAAAGAAAATATTACCTTTCGAGCCACTTTCTCTGCCTTAGCAAACATGTTAGTCTCACACAGGCCAAACGAGTACATCCCCATTAGGTACCTGTGCAAAGCAAAGATATGTACTTGAAGTTGGACCAGCTTTTTTCAATTTTTTGCCCTACAACTATATTCAGGAAGAGCTGGAATCATACCTAGCTGAAAGGACAGGGGAGTGATTTCAGGAAGAAATTACAGGATGCGCTTTCTTTTCAGAAGAGTTCATATTTGTTTAACATTTTGTCAAAACTGCCTATTGTAATTTTCAAAATGCCAACCCCACCCTCTAAGCTACATGCATATATACCTACCCATACAATGGCATTTCTTGTTTCCAATGTGGAAGTACCCTGGCTATAGAGTCCCTCATCTGTGGCTGGTAACCCAAGTAAAAGTAGGCATCATGGGCAAACTTGACTGCTAGCATGTCCAGTGGATTCTCCACCATTATATCCTCCCATGTGTTGCATGCATCTGCATAGAATCTAAAAAGGGATCTTTGTAATGCATTGCCTTGAATAACAATAATATATATTTAAAAACTGAAAACACAAATGTTCTTATGTATAATGTTAGTCTAGTACTATTTCATGGGAATAGAGAAGAGTCTTGATTAGATACATGTATGGTATCCTGAATTTTATTTTCATCAAAACTGCCATCAAAAGTTCATGAATCATAACCATTATAAATGCTTATGCATGTATGCAAAGGGGGGAAACAAACAGAACTCTTCTGCTCCAGTATTCCTTACCCATCACTCCATAGTTTGACTGCATTGACATGTTTTATTTCTCGCTGAGTGAGGTTTGAGCTCTCAGCTAATATGCTCATATCTTGTAGAGATTTTGCAAACTCTTGGTCCAGCTGAGTGGACCTTCCTGTGCCCATCAGGTCCAGTCCATTGCATAATACATGACCCATAACTGGAAAATAATGTATTTGGCATAAACTAGACCTATATTTACTCTCTACAAAGCAGTCAAAGATGGATTTGCTAAGTGCTCTTACAGGAATTCTTGTGAATCTTTGTCACTCTAGCTTTTTAGGACACCTTACAAAACATTTTTTGAAAAATGTAGGTTTCCATGAAAATAAAAGAACGATTAGTTCAGCATTGGCTGAAAGGCTTCAAAGTCACAGTTTAAAGCAAGATGGCGATCCTGTTTATTTATCTATTTCTTTTACTAAAAAACTCCTGATTAAAGAATTATATTAATATTTGAAAAAGTGTGGCTACTTAACACCAGAAAATGTGCTACAAGGTTTGCAACACATCTAAGTAAAATATGAAATAAAAGTCTCCCTAGATGAAAAGGGTTTTTCTGCTTGGTATGCAGTATTTCATTTAGGACAATTCATTAAAAACTTGAGGGGCTTACCAAACTTTGGGTCTGAAGTGAGCATCTTGCTGCAAGATTCTTCAATACCTCCAACACTGGGCTCATCATACCAACTAACATACTGAAATAATATCATTATTAAAATTGAAAGACTTCAAATATACTAATACTTGTTACATATCAAAGTAACAGCAAAGGGAAGTGTTAAAGTATTCTAAAGTTTTCAATAAACATGTCAATGTGTCCCAAATTTTGATTTCAAATTTAATATCTCGACAAATATTTGCAGGAATGTCCAACTCTCGCTCAAAAACTGGACACCCATTTTAAGTTCACTTTTCAGACTTTTTGCTAAATAACCTTATAAGGAAACAAGGCATTTCATTTTAAAAAAATGAATATTTATGACATCCTTTAGTTCAGTACTGTCAACCCCCAAAGATTTTTTCGCGGGACAGATTTTTTAGACCCAGTGCCCAAAATTCGCGGGATTTTGCGGGACATCTACTAAATTCGCGGGATTTCGCGGGACATTTAAGGGATTTGCGTGATTGCGCTTATAGGCCAATTTTTTTTATCAAATTCGCGTGACTTCGCGGGACCATTCGAGGGACAAACACCCTAATTGCGGGACAGTTAACAGGTTTACCAGCAAAAACTTCATAGAGGGACAGATTTTCTAGAAAAAGTGCCCTAAATTTGCGGGATTTCGCGGGACATCCACCTAAATTTGCAGGATGTCCCGGGACATTCAAGGGATTTGCGTGATTTGGACTAATGTAAAAGCGTGTAAAAGTACTTGAATCAAACTTTCAGATACTGATTAATCAAATATAATGCACCGTTACATTGTAACTTAAATTAACGTCAACATAATTTCACAAAATACGCATAGAAATATTATTAAACTTTATTGTAATTTATCAAAAACAAAAACCATGCTTGAGGTGTGAGTATCATAATCTAACACGAAATTCAAAAATTTGGAACAATACTTTGCACTTCTCTGCTTCTGGTGTCGTGACCAACTACTACCATACTGTAGGCATGGGCTTTCAATTGAAAGCCCATGATATAGGGGTTCGATTAATCTACATCAAATTATAGGGAATGAGGTTACTTTTCTAGCTAGGGTTTGTAGAAAAAACCGGGTACCGGGTAGTAAATCCTCTATGCTGGGTTCAAACTTTTTTTTATTTTTTTTATTCCTTCATTCTTATTTATGTACATGTAAATGTAAATATAAATATGTACATGTAAATGTAATGCAATTAATAATATAAATAAAATTTACGTAGACAAACTTGGTACCCGGTCGAAAAACCGGGTACCCAAAAAACGAAATATACGAATATACAACATAATTAGATCATTAGAAAACGTGTAAGATTTGTTTTGAATTTACAAAAATGTAACTTCCTTCAAAATTGAGCTAGAAGCTTCAAATAAAAAGCATTTTAAGCCTCTTTTCTTCCTCTATCATCATGGTCATATTTCCATTGGTAATGAAGGGGGAGGGGGTGCGATCGCACCATCACACCACGCCAATGACATTGTAAGACGATTTGAATAACAAGACAAATCAATTTTACTCTATTTTCAATGAGTTCGTATGTTGGTACGTGAACATAACCAATGAAAATATGGTCATGACGATAGAGGAAGAAAAGAGCCTTAAAATATTGTAACAAAAATGCCTTTTTGCTGTTTCTACCCTCCCTCCATTTACCTATAGGTTACATAAAAACAGTGTACTTATACGAGATGAACATATCCATTTGCTTTACTTGATATATGCGGCCACTTAACCTTTCATTTAACCACTTAATGCTCATGAGGTATAAATTGCATTCACCTAATTTTGAAATCACTTCTACTTCCTCTTCTTCTAGACATTTCTCTTTTCTTTGTTAGGATTTAATTAGGATTTAGGTTTGTTAGGATATAAAGCAAAAATCATGTAAGTAGGTTAAGTTGTATGCCGTTTTTTGGCATTTTACTGTCAACTTTATTTAGGCCTGTTTTTCCAATTTTTTTTAGTCCATTTTTGACAACTTATGTGATGATGAAATTTTCGCATCTGCTGTATGTAAGCAGGAATCTGCAACCTTGGCAACATTGGAGAACATAAATCCATTTTTTTTATCTTTATGGGTTAGAGAATTTTGCGACTTGTTTAATTTGTAATATTGAAGAGTAGGGCTCGGTGAACATGTTCTCTGTTCTAAATTGGCAATGTATGACTTCTTGTGGTAATTCTTAGTCAACAATTATGTTGTATTTTTGAAGATTACTTTCTGATATTTATGGCACCTGAGAACTTTAATTTTGTATTTATGACAACTTTCAATCCTCATCGGATTCTCAATTCTTTTTGAGCAATATGATGCCTCTTTAATCTTAAGTTCTATTGTTCCAAGTAGTAGACAAGATCAATTGTGTCTTGCCAACCTCAAAATTACTATTTCCAAATGGCCATGTTTTATTGAAAAACTAACTCGGTCTTGCCAATTTTCAATTTCCAATTTTTGGACAATTTCAATTTTCAATTGAGCAAAAAGCAATTTCCAATTTTCCAAGTTCAATTTCCAATTTTCCAAGTTCAATTTCCAATTTTCCAAGTTCAATTTTCCAAGTCCAATTTTCCAAGTTCAATTTCCAATTTTCCAATTTCCAATTTTCCAAGTTCAATTTCCAATTTTCCAATTTCCAATTTCCAATTTTCCAAGTTCAATTTCCAATTTTCCAAGTTCAATTTCCAATTTCCAATTTTCCAAGTTCAATTTCCAATTTTCCAATTTTCCAAGTTCAATTTCCAATTTTCCAATTTCCAATTTTCCAAGTTCAATTTCCAATCTTCCAATTTCCAATTTCCAATTTTCCAAGTTCAATTTCCAATTTTCCAAGTCCAATTTTCCAAGTTCAATTGCCAATTTTCCAAGTTCAATTGCCAATTTTCCAAGTTCAATTTCCAATTCCAATTTCCAATTTTACAAGTTCAATTTCCAATTTTACAAGTTCAATTTGCAATTTGCAATTTGGCAATTAGCAATTTCCAAGTTTACAATTGTACCAGCTCAACTGCAACTTGTGCACAATTGTTTGGACAATTGCAGGCATTAGAGAAGTGCAATTGTCCCTTTGCGGTTTTTAATGTGAGATCACTAGTTAGTATTAGACGAACAAAATTAGATTGATTTTTTTAATTTTGTAATAATACAAATATGACCTATATAGATAATCACTAATTATTAATTTTGACTACTTGTATTCATAAGAATTACTTAGCTACATATCATAAATCAAGTGTCCAATTCCTACAGTATCAAAGTCATTATGGAGAGATGGAAAAACCAGGTTCATAAATTGAGTATGAACGAATTCCATGTTGTATTTTATGCAAGTATATAGATCTGTTAATTCTCAATGTATTAACGACTTGTATTTGCAGTAGATAAAAGGTTGTTTTTGTAATATTTGTTTTATTGGGAATTGTACAATTTAAACTTTGAAATGACGTGACCATTGACAACAGTTAAATTGAATTGTTTTATGTCTAATTAATAGGAGAATGTGTGCTTGTGTCAATTCATAACTGTACATATTCAAAGATTATTACATGCTTTACAGGAACATTGGTACTGTTGTTTTTAATATCTGGGAATAAACTGTTGTCACCAGTTACATGTACTTTTTGTAATTTTTGACTGGTTAATGTATTAGTCCATATGATTAGTCTAGAACAAGCTCGCTTAAGGTGATTTTCATTAATGATCACCTAGCATTATTTTTTTAGAACGTCAAACTTTTGCTGTTCAATGATGTAAGCAGGGATAACTGAGTTAGTACATCTTTATGATTATGACAATGGCATATTTCCCATGGCAAGTGGATGAAAACTCGGATTTCAATGTCATTCTTTTAAGTCTGGAATAAGAGGGGAGGTTAGGCCATGTTAAGTATGCTTAATCAAAATCATTCAGATGGTAAGATAAAAATATATGAGAGAAGGTTATACTTTAAGGATTTCCATAAGTTAAAGAATAAGTTAAGGACCTTTTAATAAACTAAATTCCATGTACAATTAGAATCAAACAATATCGCCAATTAATTTTGTTTATGTTAATTTATTCTCTCATAACATAGCAAGAGTATAATTAGGGTATCACTGATAATTTATGTACTACTTAAAATTCTTAGAACTGTGAATGATGTACCTTGCCTAATTATGTATTCTTCAGATTTTAATTTTGCTTATGTTAATCTATTCTTTTATAACATAACATGAGTATAATTAGGGTATCACTAATAATTTATGTACTACTTAAAATTCTTAGAACTGTGAATGATGTACCTTGCCTAATTATGTATTCTTCAGATCTTTGTTTCATTATTTAGGTAGCATTAATTGAAATTAAAGTTTAAAAGAAATCTAATATCATATTTTGTTTGTAAATCTAACTATTTCATTTTGTGCAGTAGTTGTTTTATTGTTGCTATGGTCAAATTAGCCAATTTGTGAGAGTCTATTACAATGAACGATTATAGGAATGTCAAAATGTTAATGATCTTGGGACGATAACTACAGAGACATAATTCTGTATCTCACCACCCATATAGACAATTTTTTTAGATTAACATTAATCCAGGAATTGAATTCAACAAGAACATTAATACCAGTACCACAACAAAGGAAATCCAAAGGCGAAAAGTTTGTTTTGCTGACATGAATTACCATATTACAAATACCATTTATACAGGAATCTACAGTTTTGATAGTCCTCACTTTAGTTGACAAAATCCTACCTTGATGATATACTTTCATCCCACGAACTCGACACGCATACCTTCGACTAAGGCACACTACCAAACTTTTACTTATTCTTGGCTAATAGAAGCTTATCTTAAAGCCTACTAATTGAACTTTCTTTTTACGTGATCGGACGCCCCCCGGCGGCGACCGTTTTCGTTTCAATATGCTTTTTATTTGAAGCTTCTAGCTCAATTTTGAAGGATGTTACATACATTTTTGTAAATTCAAAACAAATCTTACACGTTTTCTGATAATCTAATTATGTTATATTCATATTTTTCATTTTTTGGGTACCCGTTTTTTGACCGGGTACCGGGTACCAAGTTTGAACCCAGCATGGAGGATTTACTACCCGGTACCCGGTTTTTTCTACAAACCCTTTCTAGATATCAGCGTCCGTTTATTGTAACTCGCGTTTGCTAACATTTGCTCAGTTCTGAGATGAAGGCCACACGGATAGTAAAAAGGCCAACGTTGGAACTATTTGTGACCTACATCCCTATTGTCGTAATTAAAATGAAAGTTGAACACTTCCTCTTTATTTTGATACCAAACAACAGCATGCTAGGTACTTAAAATTAGGTAAACTTTACTCCTCAAAAGTGCAAAAACTTAGCTTCTTATATAAGATAAGATAATCACCATATAGGGGATTGCAACAATTTTGGAAATTCGCGGAGGTCGAAAGCCACATTTGCGGGACTTCGCGGGACATTGCGGGACAAGCGAATTAGCCTAATTTTGATCGAATTCGCGGGATAATCCCGCCATTCGCGGGACACTTGACAGCTCTGTTAGTTTATATATTATTTTTCTGGGTTGAATCAAAACATTTAATTGCTTTTAGAAATCATTTTTAACTTTTTAAAAAAGGTTACAGTTTCACAATATTTTAAAGCATTCCCTGTAGTATCTATCTCCTGACCTCAATTACTTACAGACCTGAGTTAAAACTGCATCATAGAGTTTAGCAGCATCATTGCTGGTGGTAGAAAGCCCCAGACCTGTGTCTTTCCATTCCTATATCAAGAAAAAAATAAAATTGATTTAAAGTAAAATATAAATATTATGTGTTCCATAAGTTAAAGCAATATGTGTTGGATGAGGTTTTACAATAGGTGTTGTTCAAGGTAAAACTAGAAAATGGCAACTCCACGGAGTAGCAAATCCCAACGAACACTATATACAATCATCAATCTGTACAGTCACAATGGAATATTTACCATCTACTCTTACCTTCAATAAATATTTTAAATCATTGTTGTATCATGTAACCATTCTTTCAAGATAACTCTAAGTAATGGCGAATTTCTGCTCTAGTCAGCCATCTTGAATTTTCAGAGGCGCAAATCAGAAAAATAATGCCATAATTGTGATCTACTCTGAAATTCCTTCAATTTGAGTATAATACAATAATATAGCCATACTTTTAAGGGATCAGAAAATAATTGCAAAATCCCGCATTTTAGGCGGCCATTTTGAATTTTTTGAGGCCCGAATCTGAAAAACGTTACAATAATTGCAATCTACTGTAAATTGCCTTTCATTTGAGTAAAATAGAGCTATACAGTACTTCAAAAACATCTCAAATTTAACGCAAATTCCTGTTTTCCCGATCCCCCATTTACGGCCCCTGGGGGTCAGGGTGAAAAACCCGGGATAAAAGTGAAATAGATAGATGTTGTTAATATACTACCAAAATTTCAAATAATAATATTTATTATTTTGGATTCAAATGAAAAACATAAGATTTTTGCGAAAAATTCCCGCCATTTTTAAACTGGTGGCTATCTTTAAAAATTTTTTTTTTGCGTAAAACTGTTCACCAATACATGTATACATCTTTCCACCAAATATGAAAAAAATCTGTCAACTAGTATTCGAGTTATCTTCCTGACAGACAGACGTACTGACTGACTGACAGACGGAGGGCTTCACTATATCCCTACAGAATCTCGTTCGTTGGGATAAAAACAGGGCGGTCAAAAACTCTATATCCTTATATCTTTGTCATTTTAGGGAATATACTAGATAAGATACGACTAGAAATAATTTCAGAATCTTTAAATATTCAAAATTTAGTTAGGGATGTTTTATTTGAAGTCTACATGTATAATTGCAGATTGATTGCTGGAGCAGATCAATTAATTGATATTAAAATCTAAAATATACAGCATAAGTTTGAAATCTAATCTTTATTACAGCATGAGTTTCTCTCCCGGACAATCAGTGATGTCCCATTATAATTGCTGTAATATCTCACATACCTTAGACGTAATATGTTAATAAGTGTTAAAAACAACCGGTGACGATCGATGTATGAATACATCAAAAATTCATAAATCTCAACATATTGTTTTGTTACATACCTAAGATACTGTATATTGAGATTGACTTATGGTTATAGAATTGCCAATATGGAGAAATCAACAGAACAACCACCTGTCAGAATTGAACACAATTGGGTTTGATCATGGAAATCGAGGGAAAACCATGTCAAATGAAACAAGCACGCAAGCGTCAGCAAACTTGGCATGTGCCTTAAGCCAGGCATCTAATCAGATTCAAAGCCAGTTTTTAATTTATTTAGAATTTCTAGAACTGCTATTTATGTAGATGGGGATGCCCCAGCTCTGATGAGTTGGACTATTGGAGTTGTATCAGATTTATAAATAAAGACCACCTTCAGGTGGATCTATGCATCTACTTTTTATGAAGTTCCTACATGTATGGTCATGTTAAGTTGTGGATTTGGGCCTTGGGGCTTCTTCATTGGTATGAATATGTGGTGCTGCTATACATGCAAAAAGTCAAGGGGGTCTTGATTGTGCTTCCCTTTTGCAACATCCCTCTTTAATGCACCCCTAACCCTAATCATAACTTATGACTGATAATTAGCGAAATTTCTAAGTTCCGAAAAAAAAATTCATAATCATTCCCCACAACTGTAACCAAACTCGTCTGGCCCAGTTATCTACTCCCCAGGTCTACTCCTTGGTTCTGAAATGTCGTAGATCTGGACCAGACAGGTTTGGTTACCGCAACTGGTAATCTGCAAAAGGCTAATAAACCCACTAAAGCAGATATAATATTATCTTTTATTCCATAGTTGAGGTCCAATCTGTAGAATAACACGTATATTTACATGTATGATATTTTGCAAATGCGTGGAAAAAAGCGATATCTGTGGAATACGGAGATATCACCAATGTGACGTGCATTGTTACATATCTATACTGTAAATGTTACATATACTGAAAGGTGTAGATTATATATGGAAAGAGTAATATGTTCATGGAAATAACATGGGACTCCAATTTTTTCATTATTCTAGGTATAAGCTCAGAAAGCCTGAAAAGTGAAAGTGAAAATGAAAAGTTAAAAAATTAGATCTGTACCTTACAATCTCTCCAACTTGTATGCATCTCCGAAGTTTATATTTGCTTCAAAATATTATCACAATTTGCTCTGTTTATTCATTAACCACTCTGACTTTAACACAATTGTCTACACATTCTATTAAGTCTGTTTATAAATCAAACGTTCAGATACAATCAAAACAACTTTATTTTTCCAGGCCCTCAGGTCAAGGTCAAATATGGCTACTTCCGGTAAAAAATGGTTTGAAAAAAGTAGACAGATAAAAGGTGTTTTGCTGGATATAACAGGTGTTCTGTACAATAGTGGACATGTTCCGACACCTATACCAGGGTCCATCGAAGCTGTTAAAAGGTAATTATCTCTAAACTGATCATCTGAATAAAAATCTGCATGAAGACACAATGCCTGTCAACTTTCAACTTTGGACCATCTAGATCTATACTCGAGTCTCTAGCTTAGCCAAATTACACTGTGGCCGAAGAATAAGGTAAATCTATTCTTACATGAGTGACTTCCAAATGTTGAACACCTTCCTTCAAATTTTGGACACCTTACTGAACACTGGTCAATTTTGGACACCTAAATTTTTTCCTGCTCGCTAACGCTCATCGCGCTTCACAAGTCCGTCGATGGGGGCACATGAAGGTGCAAAAATTTTCGAAACAAATGCATGATTTTGGACTTGAGTCTCTAGCTTACAGGAATATAGAGAAGGCTTTGGACCAAATGCATGACATAACGGCAATCGCGTGCAAATTCGTTGCTTGAAATGCAAAATTATCGTGTTCGTTTTTCTTTTCAATCAATCGTTTAACCTATTTCTTCCTAAATTGGTCATGTGATTGAAATGCTTCAAACAACGAAACAGGCACAAGCAGCGGAACTTTGATTTCATTGTCAAAGGGGTATCGATTGAAACACTTGAAATGCTCTAAATGATGTAAGCATAGAAACGGAGGAAATGATGCATGCATTGAAACAATTGAACTGATTGAATCAACTTTATGCTATTTGCATCATTAAATATTCAAAAGTCAGTCAAAGTGATATCTACATGTGAAAGTACAGCTAGAAATATGGTTTCGAAAATTACTTAAAAAATGGCAGCCTTTACTCGTTTTTTACGATTTTTGCTGTAACTGGAAAAGTAGCGGAGCGATTTTGTTCATATTTGGTAAGTGAATACTATAACTATAAGCATGGCACACTGTCTAATGACACTTTTGGTAGAAGGCGGCCACCATTTTAACGTATTTCACTATAACTCGAAAGCGATTTTGTTCATACACTGTATTTGGTATGTGAATACTATTAGCATGGCACACTGTCTAATGACACTTTTGGTAGAAGGCGGCCATTTTGATTGAATTAACTTTAGCGTGATGCTGTTTGCATCATTAAATATTCAAAAGTCAGTCAAAGTGATATCTACATGTGTACAGCTAGAAATATGGTTTAAAAAATTACTTGAAAAATGGCGGCCTTTACTCGTTATTTTACGATTTTTGCCGTAACTGGAAAAGTAGTGGAGCGATTTTGTTCATATTTGGTAAGTGAATACTACATGTATAAGCATGGCACACTGTCTAATGACACTTTTGGTAGAAGGTGGCCATTTTGAAAAATGACTGGCATTTTTGCTATATACTTTGTTTTTAAAAATGCCAGCCATGGCTGTTCGATGGGATTTGCTATACTTTGGCGTTGCTGTTGTCTAGTTGTAATAGTCATTGGCATAAAATTAAACTGCACTGTCTAGCATTGTATGCCACCAAATAAAAGAATCTTAAAGAGTGATCCATTAGATGTTGATGATGATCGCAATAGAAAGACAAGATCAAGTGCTAGCATATCACTCCCCCCAGTTTTCTGCAAGTTAAAATGCTCAATTCTGCAAGTGAAATTAGTGAATTCTGCAAGAAGAAAGGGCTAATTCTGCAGAAATTCCGCGGATATTCGCGGCATTTTTTTATATAATATAAATAACTGTTATTAATTTATGTCTTTGTTTAACTTTCTGACGAGAACCGAAAGAAAAACTAATGGTTTTCGAACCAGTAAACGGGAAAACATCGTGATAGTCAGGTAGTCAGTCACTACATACATGCTGCCATCTAACGGCAGAAATCAAACGATGGCGTTTAGAATTTTCACTTCGCATAATTTGGGTTATTTCTGCAAGGGATTTGACTGAAAACGTGTCAAATTGTTACAGGTAAGACTGACTTTTTAAACTTTTGGAAAATATATGGATTCTGCGGAAAATTCCGCGGAAATTGACCAAAATAGTTGATTCTGCAATTCCGCGGGCAGAGGCAAATTCCGTCCGCGCTCTGCAAACACGGAATCCTGGGGGCAGTGGCATATACATGTATGTTCATTCTTTCTGATTGATCCTTTAGGTTAAAAGCTGAGGGGATTCCCCTAAGATTCTGCACCAATGAGACTCAAACCACCCGAGCAGAACTTGTAAAGAAGCTGTGTAAACTTGGCTTTGAGTTGGAAGCCAATGAGGTGTTTCCACCCGCACCAGCCATGTGTCACATTCTTAGACAGCGATCTCTGAGGCCACATCTGTTGGTACATCCAGGTATGCTTACAACAGTGATTTTGTAAAGATGACTTCCAACATGAAACAACGGACATTCGCGCTTATTCATTTAGTCCAAGTCATGTTTCTTGATTTTAGAAATATTTCCATGTCAGATTCTGAAACCTTGGAAACAGTCATAATGCTATTGATTCAAGTTACAATTATCACTCTGTATTCTATAGCCACTGATAACTATAAGATTAATGACTGATTTTTTTACTTTAAATTCTTGTTCTATTATTTCAGCTTTGTTACCTGACTTTCAAGAAATAGATCAGTCTGACCCTAACTGTGTTGTACTTGGGGATGCTGCAGATGTGTTTTCTTATGAGAATCTCAATAAAGCTTTCCAGGTTCTGATTTCCCTGGAGAAACCTGTCTTGTTCTCAATGGGAGGAGGGTAGGTAATGACATTCTAAATCTAGTTTCTTTATAGTCTCTATATACTACAGGCCAGTAGCCAGCTTTTGCCAAAGAAGGTTTACTTCAAAGAATTTTGGGGGGGTCACATTTGACAAATCAAAATCACTCAGAATGGTGAAAACTGCATCATTTTGAAAGAATTTTTGGCTTTGGCTTAACATGGCTGCCAAAATATGAAGAAGAGTGTGTATGGAAGAAGAGCATGATTTTTTTCAATTTTCAGAAGTTAGCATAGATTTTACCAAAATGGCTGTCAAATTTTTTTGCAAAAAGTGTGGCTTTATCTGCAAACTGGTTGTTGCTGTTTACTTTTAGATTAAGGAATTAGCTATTTAATTTAATTAGGTTAAAGGTAAATAAAAAGAACATGTACAAAGGAAAAGGGTTAGGCATAATGCATTTACTTACTTTACAGGAAATACTACAAAGAAAATGACAGTCTTGTGCTAGATGTAGGGTGCTATATGAAAGCCTTGGAGGTTAGCAACTTCACTTTACTAAAATGTCCTGTTGAGAAATATATGTTGTTGTGAGTACTTTCAAATAGTCAGAAGAATTAAAGGTCTTTTACTTGAAATTTTTGAGAAATCTGTTGAATCAATTCTGAAACATGTTATAAATTGCAAAACTGTTGAGTGTGTTGTGCATGACAAGTCTGAAAAATAATTAAGACAGATTCACATCATCAGAGTACCCTGTTTGTTAAATCAATAGACTGTTATTTCAGAATTTATACTGCATATAATGTACCAGTAAGAAGTAAAGAATGTTGAGGTTTACCTTGTATTTTATTGTTTCAGTTTGCCACTGGTGTGAAGGGAGAAATCTGTGGAAAACCAGATGCAAATTTCTTCAATGGTGCTCTTGCAGACATGTTTGTTAGACCAGAAGATGTAAGTATCTGTATAAGTATTCAGTCATCTATATGAAACATGGTGGCTTAAAAGTAGGTCAGAATTAACTCAAGTTCTTATCTAAACATGGTATCAGTTGCATTTCTCTGGTACACCAATCTCAAATCTATGTGTACCAAATTAACTACTATGACATGTATTTTCATGATTCTATGTTCAATACTATGTGTGAGTGTGAGGAGAAGGCTCCGAAATACGAGTCCCAGATTAAAACCATAGTACAGAAAGTAGCAAAGTTGTTTGATTTTTATATGAGCTAAAAGTCATTTAAGTGGGTATGAAAAAACAAATGAATGAAAAATGAAAACCTTTTTTTTCAACATGGGTTTATAGGATTCAATATAAAATATATCACAAAATGTACAAAGTGAGTCATGATAAAATGACAGGCTTCAAGTTTACATAAACTTAAGCAGTTGGAATACATACATGTAGTTTTCAATCAAGAACTACACTATTATAATTTGATCTTATATTTTGGAGTTTCATTTGGACATATCAGTACAATCAAAACTTTGTTCGTTTCATGAAAATTTGCTTGACTCTTTGGAGGATCATTTAACATATATTTTACATTGAAATTTATTTCCAAACAACTTTCTTAAATCTGAATATCTCCCAATGTAAGCACTTTTTCCAGTCCCATTTTATAAGACAGGTTTTACTACATTGAATAGCCTGACTAACAGTTTAATCTCTTGACTACCCAGAATGAAGAGATTTCTCGTCACCTCAGAAATGATCTTGAAAACCCAGAGGGACGAGAAAATTCATCACAAAATTTTTCACTAAAATTGCTCTCATTTGAACAATTTTCATCCAGTTAACACAAAAATTGTTTTAAAACGTGTAGAAATGATCTTTGCCATTTAATTTCATTAAGTTGAGCATCTCAAGTTGTATAGGTATGTAGTAAAATGTCAAAAGGTGGCAAAAAAGGAAAAATTCTCTGGTTTCATGCCAATTGTAGAGCCTGGGATTCAAGAGGTTAATACATGCACTCTTTTGCAGGCAATAATGATAGGGGACGATATTGTGAATGATGTTGGAGGAGCACAGGCTTGTGGTATGATGGGTTTACAAGTGAGAACAGGAAAGTTCAGGTGAGTACCTTTGAGATTGTTTGTCTTGTATAAGTCTTGTACCCCAGTGACCCCATAGGTTAGATCTAGCTCTAGTCTTATGAAAAGCATTTTGTCCCCAAATCAGCTTTGTCTGAGTCTGGCCAAGCGCATGTCTATACTTGTATCAATTATCATTCCCAAATTAGCAAAATGATATAAGAATTTAAAATATCAATAATTTTTTCCAGACCCTCGGATGAGAATCACCCAACTGTAACACCAGATGGTTATGTTGATAATTTGGCTGAAGCAGTGGACCTTTTTCTTGCTAATCGCCAAAAGTGACACTTGCCACTAATCAATGGAATACATGTAAAACTCCTGTAATGTATACATCAACAGGGTGTCAAAAACAGAGTTCCAGGGTTCATCTTATCTTAGAATTCCAGATGGTTTTGCTGTAGATGGAGTGCCATTGTTTTGACACCCTGTATATATCAGATGTCCCAAAAAAGTGAAAATTTTTTGACATGTATTTTCTCAGCAATAGATTAATTGAATTCATTGAAAATTGATACTGAATAGCCTAATGGTATCATAAATAAGTCTTTTAAATATAAATGGGATCGGTAAGAAGTAAGTTCACAGGTTACGAGTAGCCCAGGCCCATCTGTAGGCTACCCCAGAATTTATCAAGAAGTATGAAACTTAGAAATCATAGATTTCTTTTTCTTGCTTTTACATTTCAGTTTGATCTTCATCCGGCCATTTCTGAATTTTGACAATAAACCCGGATGTAAATGACGTCATCTTTTTGGGTCTGACATTATCCGCATTATTTGCCACTGATCTCTTATATAATTTGCAGACTTGTTGATAATACCTTACTGAAAGGAAAACCTTGGTAATTCAATGGTACATCTATTGATGAGAAAATACTTGTCAATAAGCGGTTCACTTTTTCGGGACACCAAACATAGTATATTTATATTTTATTTGTATCAAACTTATGAAATATTAGTTTAAATGTGATTAAATGTATAACAGATTTATATTATGCAATATATTTATTTTCACGCATATACTCTATGATCACTGTTCCACAGCTGGATGACTCTAACTGCAGTTAGCTTCATTCAAGATTCAAGCTGTTTTCTTTAAAATACTCTAATGTTGCGGGTGTTTGGGCATTCATTTGTGGTTGAATATAATCATAGTTTTATTAATTTGCATGGCGAAACTTTTGGAATCAAGATTATTAGTTTAGCTGAAATCGGAGGTTTATCGAAAACAAAAGAATCTTGCAACCATCTTGAATGAAGCCAACTGCGTGTTTTTGTATGTAGAGAATCCATCTGTCCACAAGTCCATCTTACACAGGCAAAGGACTTTTGCTCAAGAAGACATTTTCAAGATGGCCACTCATTTCAAAATGGCCACCAGCCTTTTTTCATGACTACTCTTTGGAGTTGCTGTTTTTATTTACAGTATTTAGTTTTGACACTGCCTTATAATTAATGTGGTGAGATCTAATCTATGTTTATAATGTAAGAGATAGTTGTAAATTATATTACTTCTCTCTTAAATTATTCATTTATTTATTTCAATTTGTTATTTGGTTTTGTCTTTGATTTCTACTTTTACTATTGACACTAACATGAATGGGATAAAGTGCAGTTAAATTGTGATTGTAAGAAAGAACCAAGATTTTTGTATAATCTAAAGCTTGTGAGAGACTCTGATTTATCATGTTCTTAGCCAGTGTATTCTCCAAGTAAATCTGTGTACATAGAGGAATGAATTATTGGCTTAGAATGGGTAATGTACCATTTTATTCTACCCTTCATAAGCTTTTAACATTTTCACATTTAGTACCATATACTATTGGTATTGGATATCTTATGATTTCTACATAGTTAATATTTAAATTTGCCGCTAATGTTGTAAAACTTAGGCAATCATACTGTAGTCTATTGTAAACATATTTTTTTAAAAGAAATAAACAAAAACTAAAAAAAATTCGTAGGAAACACTTATTTTCTGCGCTTCTTGTTATTTTTATATTGAAATTTGAAAAGTAATAACTATATATATGACAGTTTACAATATTATTTTTTCTGATTGTTTTCCAATTTGAATATAAAACCAAACTATCATAGCAATCACTTTGATTATATGGGAGGGACATATGTTTTATCACACTGTCATTAAGCTTTGTCTACATGTTCTATTAGTTCATGTCATTGGAATAAAGTCCTCTCATGAATAACAAAATGATTTACATTCACAGTTCACACATATCTGGCTAGACATGATAATCAAATTTTAGCCAATAAGAACCGGGAAGTGTATTTCATACGGGAAGTGTATTTCATAATATCGTATAAATAATTGTATCATACAAAACACCCAAAGTTCGTGGGTGTATCAGTGTCTGTATCATATTGGATTGTACAGTAACCAAAGTACACACACTTTAACAATAACATGTCATTTAGCATGTCAGGATCCAAGAAGTAAAATAAACCAAATTTACTAGTACATATACAGTATCTCAAATAATCTATACCTTAGATAGAATTATAACCAAGTGGCTGGCTACTTTTAGATTCAATGAAATTGATTCCCTCATCAAAGCCTGGAAGGAAGACATAGATTATCATTTAACAATCCATCCTTATACAGGTAAAACGATTACATCTAATACTGCTTATTGCATTAGAGTCCATTTCACTGCTTCATTGCGTCAGTAGAATGGCAAAAATAAGAAATTGGGAGACCATTGTGCAATACATATGGAAAAATAGATTCATATTGTACATGAATGACATTTGTATATTTCAGATTTTCTCTTTTTTGTGCAATAAGTCTGTGCCCTCTTGTAATTTGAAGAATTTCAGCCATGTTAAATGCAGAATCAGATCTATAGGGGATGACAAAATTACAAGCAACTTGTCTTATTGACCTACCAATCTATTCCTTACAATATCAAATAAAATACAATATACCTCCAAAAAGATTCACAATATATAATAAATTGGTGAAGTTATTAATAATTCAAAGTGCAAAAGTGGGTGAAAAATGTTTAAATTCTCCCAAATAATAAGAATGGTAACCATTCTTATAGAAAAATGATATATTATTGTAAAAATCTTTAGTTTTCCTGGAATAAAATATGCACTTTTGTGATTTTTAGAAAATAGACATGACAAGGAATGACATGAGCCAAGAATATTCTAAAATTGGAACAATTTTTTGTTTAGCCTGCTCGCTATCTCTGATTCTCTCTTTAATCTTATTGAAAATAACATGGCAGAGAAGCATCCAAATATAAGAGGCCACACACTTTATAAGCCAAACTAGAAGCAATCCAAGATATACAAATGTCATTCATGTACAATAGGAATATATTTTTCCATATATTATTGCAAAATGATATTTCGATTTCTTATTTTTTGGGCTTTTACTGACTCAGTTAAACAATGAAAAGGACTCTATATCACTTCATGGGTGTAGATCTTGCCAGAAAGCAACAACACTTCTGCCTGGTCATTTTTTGTTGTCATCATGTAATGATCATAGGGAGTAAGTCACCTCCCTAGGCTCTTCTCTACGTTAGATTTTTAATACAGAGAATATTATAGGGGGTGACTAACTCCCCATGGTAATGATCAAAATGACTAATGATTGGATAAAATGTGTCTTATTCTGTGAGATTTGCCATTCTGTTTTTTAGTTTCAGTTATGAATCAAAATTTTACATGGCATTGATTCAACAAGCAGTGAATTGACTACAAAATTATAGATGGCATTACAGTCATTCCTCATATTAAAAACAATTTACACATGTAAATGATCATTTAACCCTTTCACAACGATAAGCTCCATATGGAGCCCTATTATGTAATACCTTTCAGGACGATAGGCTCCTTTTGGCACCATTATTTTTATTTATATACATCAATGAAATGATAATATCTCCAGTTCTAGTATTTTTACACCAAATTTTGACAAGTTGTTCTTATGTGACAATCCTCACTAAAAATTGTATATCAGTGATGAAATCTAAGGTATAGGTCCCAGGGCATAGGTATTTTGTAGTTTTCCCCTAAAAAACACTCTTACTTATCCGTCACTGGGGACAACATTTTCCTCTTATATTCACGTCGGGAAAGGGTTAATATCAATGATGACAAGTTGATTATTTTCATGAAAACGAAACAAGGAAGTTAATATTTAGTTCATAATGAAACTTAATATGAAAATGAAACTGAACATAAAGTACAGATAATCAAATGAAGAAAATACATCTTCATCCTAGAAATGGCTAACCAAATTATTTACATGGTCCTATTGAACACATTACCATCTTTAGTGTCATTCTCACTTGAATGAAACTAGTCTTCTAACAACTGAGAAATAAAACATTATATGTTGCTCTTTAAAATTGTTTAGTTACCTTTTTAAAACATCATCATGCCCGGATGATTTGTGCTTTGAGCGCCCATGATCAAACCTATCCAGATACAAGTGTGTTCCCTAATGCCTGGGTCACATTTGCTCCGATCCATCAGCCGCCAGGCCGATTGAGTGTTTTGTTCAATATCGTATTCAATTTTGAACAAAATACTCAATTGGCCGGGCGCCTTAGTGAAAATCGGATCAAATGTGACAAAGGTATAAGCTGTATAGGATGAATGCAGGGGCGGATCTGGGAATCAACAAGGGGGGGGGGCCCAAATTTCAAGTCAGAGAAAAAAACTTAAACTTTGGGCCCTTAAAACCTAAAAGTGGGCCCAAATTTTGAGGCCCATTTTCTTCAAAATTAGGCCTGAAAGAAATAAGGCCTTTAAAGGCCCATTAATAACCAAAAAGGACCACTTTTGGGGGCCTTAAGGCCTTTTTGGCCAAAAATCTTTTTTGGGCCAAATTTTTTTTTCTGGGCCCACCAAAGGAGCCCCCCCCCCCCAGCCTAATATTGATCGTGAACGTGTTCAATCCTAACATCTTTTCAGGATTTTTTATTATACGATGCAATGCTACAATCCACGGTAGTGTATGAGTATGTCATGCAAGGGCGAGAGATCGAGTTTGTTGACATAAGCCATGTGCTATTGTTGACAATTTCTGTAACTGGTGTCTGATTGGCTAAAAGTGCTTTCCTATTTGCATATTAGATTGAGCCGCCATCTTGGAAAATACCTGACACTGAGTACCTGATATTCGGAAGATTTATTTAAAATTTCGCGATGTACATATTAAACAGAGGATGGTAAGTCTAATATCTTTTTGTATGAAGTTGGTGCTACAATTTGCTAATTGAATTTACCCTGTGTACTCGCAATTTAGACGCTATTTTTTAGTATATAACTAAATTTAGAATCTGAAAATTTGTGAATAAACTTTGTTTTGCTTAGAGATGCATATTGAACTTGTATGTTCATTACGGACATGTATTTATTTGTTTGCGTATATAAACACAAACCTACTGTTAAATATAGTTACATCCAAGTGTATTTCTGTATGTGAGAAATATAAAGATCAAAAGTAATTGAACTTGAAACCTCAATTATTGAGGTTCAAGTTCAATTACTCACACATGAGGGGTAATGGAAATTCCTGGTATAATTTTGTTTTTTTATGAGTTTAATCCACTTTTTTAACTGTACATTGATGTGAAATTCCAAAAATATGATAATCTAAAAAACGCGGGGTCAGCATCTGGAGTAACTGATGACTATAATGAGCATAGTGTAACAAGCCAGATAAAGAAACTGAAAGAACGTGTGCTAAATTCAATGCCCCATGTGGGAATCAGGCATAGAAGATCTCATTTCTCACATTATATACTGTAGATTGGGTTAATTTGGCGCTACCTAATTTGGCGATTTTGCCATTTTTGGCATATTGGCGGCTATTTAATTTGGCGGATATGCAAAAAAAAATTTAATTAACTTACGCGTTGTTTGCGAATTTTATGTTCATTTTTTGTTTTGAGGACCACTGGCAATATTCACCACGTTTGTACATTTTTGTGAGATCATCCTTTACATTTTGCACCTCGATTGATGCTGCTACTATACTGCACTTTTCCTTTCTAGTTTTTCCCTGAGTATTAATAAGTGACTGACCAGTTCTGAGCCAATTTATGAGAGACATTTTTTTCATATTTTTGGAAAAAACTTAATCGGAAGTGACCTAAATACACTCGACGAAATACCCTAGATAATTCCCGGGGATTCATTCTAAATTTTGGCGAAGATTTATATTGGCGAATTTTTCAATTTTGCCAAATTCACCAAATTAAAGCGGGCGCCAAATTAACCCAATCTACAGTATTTAATTCTATACTATAGTTTCTCAGGAATCCATACTATATGTAAATACTTTGAAAAATAAGTGCAAAATGTATATTTTAGTCAAAGTCAAGCTTTTTTATAAAAACACAATTTGTTGTCTTTATTTTTTGTTGTGCTGAGATATGTTCAGAATGCACCAGAGGCGGTTTAAATTTGAAAATTTTCTGAGGGCATGCCCCCACCCCCCCCCCCCCCCCAGCTTTATAAATAAAATTTAGAGTGTTAATTTCATGCTGGTGGTAAAATCAGCAATGATAGATGCTTTCCATCATTCTAAAATGGCTTACCAGAGCAGTACCAGGTCAGCCAGAACATGCTATAATTGTCACAAAACCACTTAGTTGCCAGGCCACATAATTTGCCAAATCATATTTGGGAGATCGCAAACTAAACATGAAGAGGGTGTTTAAAATGCTTTAAACCTGATATAATCTTAACTGTAAACAACCTGGCCATGATATTATTCTCTCCATCACCTAATGAAAAGTGTACAATTACAAGTGACCAAAGACCCTATAAGTCACATGAATTATACAAAAGTAATGCAATATTATTAATAATTTAGTAATAATTTTCAGACATTTTTTTATACTTAAACTGTAGAAATGGGGTTTATGAAAAAGACTGACCCTACCGACCACCGACTGTTCAGTGTTTTCCACTAGTAGCCTCAAAACAGGGTTTGAAGAAAATGTGTAAAAGACTGAGCATATCATGGAAAAGACCAACCATATTTGTAGCCTTAAAATATTAATAATTAGATTTTGATTTTGTTCCTTTTAACGAAAGACAAGCAAACAAATTTGGCATGACCGTTTCCTCTCAATTTAATTGTCCTGCCTTAGGTTCTCGATCTACCATTAACCAACCTATCATTTCTATCCTAATTTTCACTGAAATCTAACGTACAATTTCGAAATACAAATGTTATCATCATAGCCTACTGAATTCTGAACACGATGTAATGTTACATGCATTCTTTTATCGGAATTAAAAGTGACTAACCATTTCAGTACACCATTAGAAAACTTTTTTGTCATATTGAAAGTAGTTTAAATACTAGTTGCCGTTTCAACTGAGGAATCAAACGTATGATGTGAAAATCGACAATGTTAAGTGTGTTTTTGTTATTGCGTTTCATAATAATGAACTTAATGCAATGTTACGTGCATTTTCTCACCATAGTCCAAACACGGAGCGGTAGCCAAACTGCTTGCCTACTATGCACGCAGTTTGAAAGACTGACAAACTGCGCGCCTATCAACATTGCATCATACAAGTTGAAGTCTGTGTTTTCAAACGTCATTTTAAGACATTTATTCTGAATTGTTTTATAGTTTCACACGTCCATTCGGTGACGATTATATGATTCAGCCATGTGATAGCGAAATGTATGTCCAGATGAACGTTGGTTTAAAAATATAAGCAGATTAATACAAAAAATTGGCATCGATTTTTGGATTACCGATACAAAAGTTGATATCGCACGTTTCACAGAAATAGAAAACACTTGGGTTTTGATTCACAGGTAAATCTCAACCCAGTTCTCCCGTACAATACAAAATATTTCGTATTAAAACAGATGAACATGACAGAAAGAAGTAATAAAACACAAACTGCGCGCCTATTTTAGCCAGAAATCACAAACTGCGTGCATACTCTTCCAAACTGCGTGCATATTATTGATGCAGGCCTATGTGATTTCATGGGAGTACGTAAGTAAGCTGGTACAGATTGAAAAAGTTGAAAAAAATCAAAAACTAAAATTGGGTTGATGGTTGACAACCAGTGGAAATGTACATATTTATATATTTTATTTTGTTCTTGTCTATATGATTTTATAAAAGTATGGCGCAATGATTCGACTTCATCATATAGAGTTGAGTTCAAAAATCTCATGAAAATGGTTTTATTCTATTGGGGTCCTTCTAAAAGACACACAGGAGGCCCCCGCCTAGTCCCAATTGAAGTGCCGAACTTGCCTATTTTATTACTTTATTTCAAACTAACACTATTTCATGCATGGTGCAACATAAATATTGAATCCTTTTTTATTTAGATTTTTGATTGATGCAGTCCAAAAAGCCATTTCTTAGAATTCAATGAATTCCTCATTATAAAATACTAATATCAATTTACAGTTTTAGAACATATAAGTAAGAAAATGATATTATACGAGCCTGATAAATCGGTAATTTCAAGGGGGATTGAATTTGTTGAGATGAGGGTAAGGAAATTGAGGAAGGGTTGACACAATGTACTATTTCTTTTAAGGTTTGAGAGGACATCGGGCAAGAGGTTTTCACAGTCTTTTAATTTCATGTTTTTTTCAAAGGAGTCACTGGTACCTTTAAATAATCGCCCCTTTAGTTTCTTGATTGGTTTCCTTTTCTTCATTGGTGCGTGTGAAAATAACATCTTGTTTAATTCTGGTTTCATGGTTTTTGAAGATGCGCTGTTGTTATCTACATCTTTGTTAGGGACAGACTTTGTTTTTTTTTATATATGGACAGGTTTAGTGAGAGGGGTTTACGTTTTCTGAAAATACACAACAAACTTGCACACAGCTTGCAAATTAGGCGCGCAGTTTGAAAATATAGGCGCGCAGTTTGTAAGTATTAGGCACGCAGTTTGTGAAACTCACGTGAAAGTATGCACGCAGTTTGACAGCGAAAAAAATAAAATCACGTTAATGGCTTGTCACTGTTTAACACACAAACCCTATATTACTTAAACCATTAGCAGCAATCCTATATCTTTCAGTATATGCAAACATGAGGGCTGAATAAACGTCAAACTACGAAAAACAGACATTATATGACGCAACACTCTATAATTTGAACACGAAAGCTCATTGGGAACCTTATTTTGAGATAACTAGATATTCATCGGGAAAAAAATCGAGTGCTACGTATAAAGTAAGTTAGTCTCCACATCTTGGTACTGTCTGATAACCAAAATTAACTTTGTATTGTCAGTAATTTCCATCCTCTTGGGAGCCGTGTCCTCCCTGTCTGCCATTTTGTGAATAGGCGCGCAGTTTGTCAATGTTCCAAACTGCGTGCATAGTAGGCGCGCAGTTTGCCTACCGCTCCGTGCCAAAGTGACTAACCAGAATGAAATTGGTCTTCTAACAACTGAGACATAAAAATATCACTTAAAAATATGACATTACACACCACGACGATGTTACATTTTTATGTCACCACCAAAAGTGGTGACATATTGTTATGGCCTCCGTTTTTTTTGCGACGGCGGTTGGAGGTTGGCGTCCGGCGTCTGTAACAATTTCTTACAACTTCCTATAACTTAACAAATACTGTTTAGACTGACTTCAATTTAGACTGACTTCAATTTTTTTCTAAATCATCTACATGTTCTCAGAAGTTCAAATCTGACTTTAGATTTGACATTTGACCTTCAATGACCTTCTCAAGGTCAAAAAGGTCTTTTTTCAACTTGCTTCACATTGACTAAATTTTTTTTCAAAATCATCTACATGTTCTCAGAAATTAAAATCTGACTTTAGATTTGACTTTAGATTTGACATTTGACCTTCAAATCTGACTTTAGATTTGACATTTGACCTTCAATGACCTTCTCAAGGTCAAAAAAGGTCAAAAAGGTCTGTTTTCAACTTGCTTCAAATTGACTAATTTTTTTTTTCAAAATCATCTACGTGTTCTCAGAAATTCAAATCTGACTTAAGATTTGACTTAAGATTTGACATTTGACCTTCAATGACCTTCTCAAGGTCAAAAAAGGTCAAAAAGGTCTGTTTTCAACTTGCTTCAAATTGACTAAATTTTTTTTCAAAATTATCTACGTGTTCTCAGAAATTCAAATCTGACTTTAGATTTGACTTAATATTTGACATTTGACCTTCAATGACCTTCTCAAAGTCAAAAAAGGTCAAAAAGGTATTTTTTCAACTTGCTTCAAATTGACTAAAGTTTTTTTTCAAAATCATCTACATGTTCTCAGAAATTCAAATCTGACTTTAGATTTGACATTTGAACTTCAATGACCTTCTCAATGTCAAAAAAGGTCAAAAAGGTATTTTTTCATCTTGCTTCAAATTGACTAATTTTTTTTTCAAAATCATCTACATGTTCTCAGAAATTCAAATATGACTTTAGATTTGACTTTAGATTTGACATTTGACCTTCAATGACCTTCCCAAGGTCAAAAAAGGTCATAAAGGTTTATCCCGTTCCAGGACTATAGTCCTGTACGGAGCCCATACATTTGCCTGTACGATTACAACTTGGGAGAATTATCTACGCCCCTTCCACTTAAGAAACCTACCTCAATGCATTCTAGAACTCAAAATGTAACTTCTAATATATTGGAACCGCCGATTGTCTGGGTTAGTTGGCAGAACGAGGTCTTTTTGTTTCTTATGGCTCTTTTGGTGGAAGTTCGATTAAGATGGCGGTTATAACGGAATTTCCCGAACTCTTCCGTAATAGCACGAACTTGGTTTTTCGTTACTTCACTTCCATGTAAAATGGATTTGTTTCCGGTAAGAAACATTGTTTAACCATTCGGTATACAGTTAAGAGCATAGGATGTCGACATGGCAGTAAATATTGAAAATATTGTCCGAAATTTTCGAAATTCCCTCTTACCCGAAACAAATCCATTTTACACGGAAGTGACGTAACGAAAAACCAAGTTCGTGCTATTACGGAAGAGTTCGGGAAATTCCGTTATAACCGCCATCTTAATCGAACTTCGACCAAAAGAGCCATAAGAAACAAAAAGACCTCGTTCTGCCAACTAACCCAGACAATCGGCGGTTCCAATATATTAGAAGTTACATTTTGAGTTGTAGAATGCATTGAGGTAGGTTTCTTAAGTGGAAGGGGCGTAGATAATTCTCCCAAGTTGTAATCGTACAGGCAAATGTATTGGCTCCGTACAGGACTATAGTCCGGGAACAGGATAAATAAAGGTCTTTTTTCAACTTGCTTCAAATTGACTAATTTTTTTTTTCAAAATCATCTACATGTTCTCAGAAATTCAAATCTGACTTTAGATTTGACATTTGACCTTTAATGACCTTCTCAAGGTCAAAAAAGGTCAAAAAGGTCTGTTTTCAACTTGCTTCAAATCTTCAAAAACCTTCTTAAGGTCAAAAGGTATTTTCCAACTTCATTTTTACCTCTTTTAAGCTCAATTTCCCTTGCTTATCCATTTTTACCTCTTTTAGCCTCAGTTTCCCTTGCCTCTTCATTTTTACCTCTTTTAAGCTCAATTTCCCTTGCTCAATCATTTTTATACCTCTTTTAGCCTCAGTTTCCCTTGCCTCTTCATTTTTACCTCTTTTAGCCTCAGTTTCCCTTGCTTCTTCATTTTTACCTCTTTTATCGTCAGTTTCCCTTGCCTATTCATATTTACCTCCTTTAGCCTCAGTTTCCCTTGCCTCTTCATTTTTACCTCTTTTATCCTCAGTTTCCTTGCCTATTCATATTTACCTCTTTTAGCCTCAGTTTCCCTTGCCTCTTCATTTCTACCTCTTTTAGCCTCAATTTCCTTTGGCTATTATTTTTACCTCTTTTATCCTCAGTTTGCCTCACCTATTCATTTTTACTTCGCCTAATTTGAGATTCTGGTTATGCCCTTTTCTATATTAAAGTCAACTGTGCTGAATTTATTTCAGGATAATCCATTGATTTTTGGGGTTATTTGGCATAAATTCACTTTTCAGAAAAGAGAATTAGGATTACAAACAACATTTAGAATAGATTGCTTCGAACTGTATTAACAGGACCATTTGGATTATTTGACCTAAATTATGATTGCTTCTTTGCTGTTATGCATCCACATTTCCAATTAATCATGAACACAGTGGGCTTTTGTCTGATATGTTATGCTCTTGCCATTTTGTGTGGTACTGGGAATTTTATTCCATTTGTTCTGGCTCCTTTGCCTTCTTATGGATGAAAAAGTTCTTTGTAAAAATATTAATGACTGTTGTCAGTTTTCCATAATTTGCAGTTTTCTCAAGGTATATGTACTCTATTAAAACAAGAATTATACAACATTTGATATTTTGCTCTTTCTATTATCATTCATATGATGTATAACACTTTAACTTTACTGCACCATTACTTCGCGAGAGTGCCTCCCCCGGATTATTGACGGCACTTTGTATTTGTGATTAATAACAATCCATAATTGTTCACTTACACAAGCAGGCATCCAGGTTTATGTAATTGACCAATCAGAAGTCAAACTTCACCCTTATAAGCCGTTTCTTATACAAAGTAATGATTTCATGATAGCCAACATTGATGCAATTTGACCTACTTTTGCAACTTGATCTATTTTTTAAAAATTAAACAAACCATCTTGTAAGCCCATCGAATGGGCCATTTTTCTTTTGTATGTTTCTTCCTTTTCTTGTGCTGCTTGAGTGGAGTGTTTGATGCTGAAAATGCCATTGAGAAGTCTAAATTCAGTTGGTGTATCCTCCATTTAAATGTGCATGTAATAATTTATTAATTTGTTTTTCAGATAAAGGTGTGAATTGGTACATGATAGAATGGATAATACAAAAAAGCCCCCTGTTGACAACAGACTGATACCATAACATACAACACGTTGCCTTAATTAAGTCTACCTATGTGTATTACATCATCATACAGGATGTAATAGACCAAGTGGGTTTTTAATGACTTTCTGTGTGAGAAATATTTGAGATGGACTGATGTATAGATATATAAAATGGATAGTGCTGGTGATCTCTCGGCCGTAGTCGACCCATCCAACTCTCAGGGTGAGGCAGGAGTGGCAGCCATGGCTACCCCACCTGTGGATACCTTACAGAACAATGCAACATTCGTTGAGACCAGTGTGGGTCATATGGCTAGTAGAGCTGGATTCTTGGCTCTCTTCATCATCGTGGCATTCATTGGGAACAGTATGATCCTTGCTACTATAGTACAGAGCAGGCGCTTGAGGATTACTGTATTAAATCTACTGATAATTAACATGTCTGTGGTGAACCTGCTGCAATGTGTGTGTAACCTACCTCTTATTCTGGGCTCTACTATTACTGAGACCTGGGACTATGGGAGTGCTGTATGCCAGTTGAATGCATTCTTAATGACAATGTTCAGTATTGTTACCATGCTCGGACTTACAATAATGGCTATTGATCGCTATTTAGCTGTTCTGGATCCTGAAAAGTATGCAGTGAGAGTAACTGTTACACGGATTAATTATATAATACCTTTCACATGGATTCAATCTGCTGCTTTCTCAATGCCTCTAGTGATCAATGCAGATAGTTCAGCTGTATTTCCATATAGATACCACTGTTCGCTGGCAGAAAGTTCATCTCTCTTATATATTGCACTAACATCAATTTTCTGCTACATCATACCACTAGCAATAATTGTGATCTTCTATATCTGTATCATAAAGACTGGTATTAAGACCAAACTGAGACAGCGTCAGGCACTCACCTCTAGCCATATCACAGAGGAAATGATGCCTTCTCCAGCTCTAATGGTCCAGCTTCATACCTCTATATATGTAGGATTGCTGTTCATTTTTTGGTGTGCTTTAGAGGGCCCTTATTTAACCCTGAGTTACATAGAACAGTATAGGAATAGTAAAGAGATTCAAGAAAATGACTCATTGTACATTAAGTTTGAATACCCATGGGAACTTGATATGGGATTCACTTGGATAAAACTCAGCTATCCCACTGTCCTACCATTTATAACATTTATCTGGCGTAAGGATATTTGGCAAAAATTGAAAAACTTTATTCTTTGTCGTAAGAGTAATGTTATCAATGATGCCTCTCCTAACGATGACATTGAGGAGGAAGTTGACAGAGATGAAGGTGACAAACGTAAAGTAATATATAAGGAGGAGAATCATAAAAGCTACCAGGTGCCAGTGTTGTTTGCCACAGCCAATGGTCTCCATATTCAGACATACGACCATGACTCTGAAGATACTCTCTCAGATACAGGGTACTTCTATGCAGATATGACATCAAAATCAAATGATATAAAAGTATTGAAGTCACGTAAGTGTGATGTTAATGGGTCTCAGGATATGCACGCTGACACAAGTGACTATGACTCAAATAATGATGATATGGAACCATTTAAAAGTTCTAAACAGAAACAAGTCTTCTCAAAGACTGCTGTGCCTAGGTTGTTCATCGAATCTTCAGATAGTGATCGGCCTGTTATAAGTAGTCCAGACGGACAAAAGAGAACATCCCCTCGCAATATTGTATCTGATTCGGGGGTTGACACACTCAGTGATTCAAATAAAGGGAAGAAGATACGGAAAAAGTCATCAGAAGAAAAAATTGAGAACATTGTAACTGATGATATTAAAGATTCTAAAGAGGAGGAGGGTGATAACGATGAAAACCGTGACTCTGGTAGAGGAACAGGGAAGAGAAGTAACAAAGTAAGAGGACAACTACAGGATATAAATGACCAATATCATGCTAAAAGGGATAATCGTAATTTACCAAATCAGGTATCCGATGCTACATCTACTCAAATTGGAGATGCAATCAAAGACTCTGACAATCATGCAGCTACCATAGCAGATAGCAACGAAACTACAGAATCTCTTAAGAATGAAACACCAACCAAAGGTAAAGTAAAAAAGAAAAAAAGAAGTAAAGGACAATCATCAAATAATGTTGAACTTAGCAATTTGAAAGACAAAAATGTGCAAGATAGTATTGAAGTAGAAAAAGACATTGATAATAAGGCTCATAAAAGACCTCCAGCCCGTCTGAAACCTTTAGACCATAAAGTACATAGATCTGATGTAGAAAGTGATATTATCTCTATGAAGGTGCCTCTATCACATGTTAATGATGCTCAAGACAATACCCTCATATCTGCTCAACCCCAATCCCCAAAGCCTGTTAAATCTGCTCAAAGTAAACACAAGAGATCCGTTTCTAAAACTGAATCTTTTGAAGCTGGTAGTGACACTGTTGAACTGAAACAAAAACGACCTCACCGACGACATCGGTCTGGTTCGGAGCCAGAGAGCCCAAGAGAAAAGGACAAAGAAAGGAGACATAAGGCTGCTGTTGATGAAAGTCCCAGGTCAAGGGAACATAGAAGACAGAAATCAGGTTCTGGGCCTGAAAGCCAAAGAGACAAAGACAACCTTAAAGTTAAAGATAGTGATAAAGACAGTAAGGTAAAAGACAATGCTAAAGATGTCAACAAACTTGGAGAGAGCAGATCAAGAAGTGGAAGTGCCACACGTTTGAAGAAGAAAACTCGGACAGAGAGTACTCAAGAACTGTTACTTGATACATCACCAAGGTAACAATGCATAATTGTTAGACAACAGGAGCTGGTCAAGGTGAGTAATGTTATAAACTCAACATGATTACATTCTAACTAGGAAATTCAATTAGATATGAAATGTTTAGCAATCCTTTGTATCCCACTGAAAGATTTAATCTAAATAAAAGTAAAAATGGGTATTACAAGTCTGAATTTGATATAGCCTACTATTGATTTGGCCATTGATTATTACACCTAATCCTTCTTGTATACCTACGGTATTCAAAATGAATGTGGACACAGTCAATACGAGCCAGGTTCAACTTGGAAATTTGAATACATTTGCAAACTATGACTGGATAATGTTAGGATATATTTGACAGGCAGCCTGCAATTTTATACTTCAAAATGAATGACTCATAATTATAAACATTGTGTACACTTTTTTGTTGTGTTATTGGACAGGAGTAAAATATCATTCGAAGGGATTTCCACAATATTTTAAAATTCAGATCACCTTTCAGTCTTACTTTTATTTTGGTACCAATATGTATTTCGAGTTATGATAACAGATCTTGCCTGGACTACCACTGTTACAATCATGTATTGCAGAATTAATAAATGTGAAATCACAACCTGTGAATTGTGCAAATTTCTGAAAATTTGCTCTATTATCACATTCTGATTTAGTGGGAGAGAATGGAACCTTTTTATTATCAATTGATTGCAAGTTCTGATTGTAAGCCATAATTTACCATGATTATCACATCATTATTTTGAACCATGGGAGAGACAAATTATTTACTATTTTTTTGCTTTTGCTTTAACATGTGCATTCCCAAGTAGTGGTGAATATTATACTGCTGCATATTTTCTCCTGGGATTTGACATTCCCCACGATGTTTGTGATGTAGTAAAAGCATTCTAGTTTTACTGAATAAATGTGGCACTTTTTCATAAGCTGACATTCCGCTTGCTATTTGGGTTTTGTGGAATGTCACTTTACTGAAATATTTGTATAATATTCCTTAATTCATATTCAAATGATGATCATGAAAAAAGAACATATTTATGCAGCACCTTGAAACCAATCTTGAAATCATTTTTATATTGTTGAGTTTAATCGTTGATTTCTGCCTTTTCATAATAATGGATTTTGGAAAAGCAGATTTTCTTTTACAGTGGTTGAAGGGGTTCTGTTGTACAAATTATGTCACTAAGCCCCATCTAATCTCAAATCTGGGCTTGGACTTTTATATTATCACAATTGTTTCCATTAATATCATTGGCATTTCTCAGATTAGGATGTAGACGATAAAGAGACTGAAAGGTGGGGTCTTAAAGAAAAAATAATACAAGATATGATACGATATGATTCTTTTTATTTTATTTATTTATTTTTTGTTAAATTCCTACCCTGCGTGCAGAGTCTAGTTAAACTGAAGACGAAGCTCTCTTTTAAGAAGTGAAGTCAAACGAATGCAAAGGGTATTAAATTCCATAACTCACACAAAAAATTAAGAGGGACGTATCAGTGCAGGGGTTTCATTAGCAGCAGGCGACAAGTGATTTTCACCGGTTGTTTTCACAAAATAGCCTGTTGATTTTAGGGACTTTTCCATGTTAAAGTTGTACTAAAACCAATTTCAGTAGAATTATCTTGTATTTAGCACAAATAAAATCCCTTTTATATTATTTTGAATATAAAGCTTGTGCTATTTCCCCACACAACACAATTTATTAAGATAAGACTGTCAACCTCTGAAATGTTCTTATTTTGTGCACTTTTTGAGGTGTGCCAAGTTATTCCTGCGCTAAATTGAAAAGTTCTTGTTGCAAACTACTACGAAGGCGGAACCAAAGTAGAAATATACATCAGTAAATGACATTCGCATGCATTCCAATAGCCAATAGCCATTGTTTCAACCACACATATGTTATTTCATGTGACGTAAAATTTCTGCTTTGAAAATTAAATCAGTTTTGCCGCGAAAACAGACTAGTGCTGATTTTATATCCCGATATCATGATAAAATGAACTTTTGGAATTGTTTGATGGTTCACCATCGTAAAGTGTGGACTTCATACGGTAAGATAGCATAAATATATCTAAATCGAGTAAAATGGTTTGAGTACAACTTTAAATTTATGATTTTCATTAATTCTGCCTATTCTTAGCTCACATGGTGAGCTTTTGCAATCACTCACTTGTCCGTCTGTCTGTCCGTGCGTCCGTCCGTCAACAATAGTGGCATGTTTTTTATAAAACCTCTGTCGATAGGATTCCCGTTTTAAGTTATTTCTGTTCAACATCAATACAGAACCTCCCCTATGACTCCTGGTTCAAAAGCTCGCCTATTTTCAAAATGGCCACCATTTTTGTCTTGCATTCTAGTTAACATTGATTTGTCCATCTGACTCGCGAAATCCACTTTTCCGTCAACAATAGTGGCACGTTTTAAAACCTCTGTCAATAGGATTCCAGTTTTAAGTTATTTCTGTTCAATATCAATACAGAAAACTCATCTACGACTCCTGATTCAACAGCTCGCCTATTTTCAAAATGGCCGCCATTTTTGTCTCGCAAAATTCACTTTTGACCCATTTTCTAGCTTTACAAATAATTTCAGGTGACCTGCATTGTAAAAATCCATGTCATGTCCATGTGAAGAGTAGTTGTATGAAATAATTTTGTTACAAAAAATCAGCAAAAATTATATCTGTTTTTTTTTTTTTTTTCAGCCATTTTAGTTAACATTGATTTGTCCATCTGTTTTGCGAAATCCACTTTTGGACCATTTGCCTTGAAACCTCTATCGATAGGATTTCAGATTTAAGTTAATTTTGTTCAACATCAATACAAAAAACTCCTCTATGACTCCTGGTTCAAAATCTCGCCTATTTTCAAAATGGTCGCCATTTTTGTCTCACGAAATTCACTTTTGGCCCATTTCCTAGGTTTACAAATAATTTCAGGTGTCCTGCATTGTAAAAAGCCATCTCACTGTGAAGAGTAGTTGTATGAAACAATTTTGTTACAAAAACTGGTCAAAAAATTACATCCGTTTTTTTATTTTTAGCCATTTAGTTAACATTGATTTGTCCATCTGTCTCGCGAAATCCTCTTTTGGACCATTTGCCTTAAAACCTCTATTGATAGGATTCCAGTTTAAAGTTATTTTGTTCAACATCAATACAAAGAACTCCCCTATGACTCCTGGTTCAAAAGCTCGCCTATTTTCAAAATGGTCGCCATTTTTGTCTCGTGGAATTCACTTTAGGCCCATTTCTTAGCTTTACAAATAATTCCACTTGTCCTGCATTGTAAAAAGCCATGTCTTTGTAAAGAGCTGTATAAAATAATTTTGTTTCAAAAAGCCGGCAAAAAATTATATCGTTTTTTTTTATTTGTTGTCATTTTAGCCATCATTCACTTTTGAGCAACACCATGTGAGCCCAGTACCCATGGTACTATTTTTTTAAATTTATTTAGCCTTGTTGTGAGAAATTTGTGTGATACCCCTGCAGTCTATTAAGCTCTGTCAAACCAAATTCCATTAAAAAATCCCATGGAAAACTGAAAATTGTAACTTTTATGTTGTCAAAATGGCAGGAAATTCAATTACATTTTCAGTGATTAGAGATGATATTATTGTAATAAGAATAGTTTCAATCAATGCAAGGACATTTAAGCAACCTATATTGATCATTGAAATTCATTTTCAGAAGTTCGACCCACAGTATTAATATAAGTAAGGTCTGAATAAACAAATTGGTAACTTTCACTTTCAGTGTTTGGAAACTGGAATTCAAATCCATAACAGTTTATTCATTTGAGAAAACCGTTGCATAACCATGGATGGAAATCACGGGATGTCATCGCCTGATTTGGTCAATGTTAGGGAGCAGGTCGTTTTTACAATAAATTTCAATATTTTCACACAAAATATTTTTTTACTGAAAAACTGCTCATTCGCAGAGAAAATGTACTAGCACATGCAATGACAATGTCAATCACGCTTCTGTACTAAATTCGGCGGAAGTCTTTTATAATCTAATACGAAGTTACTAAAAAAGGCGCGAACGCCCTACACTCAAAATGATCGTTTTTCCATTATAACTTTTTAACGTAATTTAACGAAGGCTTCTAATTATTATCCAAGATAGTCTAAATACTGATTAAAATATTTCTTACTTCAAACAGATACGCCGTCTTTTATTCAATTTTTTAAAAAATAATAAAAAATAACTCTTGTCAATGTTAGGGAGCAGTCAATGTTAGGGAGCAAAATGATTTTATCAGAATATTAAAAATGTAGCAAATGGCCATTTAAAATATGTATGGCATTTATAAACTGAACAATTTTGTTTGTATGATTATTTGATACCCTTTGGGGAGGAAAGCGTTAAAATTGTAAGAAAATCATTGAAAAGGTTATTTTGCATTTTTTATTTTCAGCTAAATCCTGTTTACGTTCGTTTTAGAAATATTTAGATGCGAACCATTCCTTCTTTATTCGTTGACCTCTAACTGTAAATGAATGGATGTATCGTTATATACACTTTTTGATGATGTCATCAGTTCACAATCCTAAATTGTGGATGATAAATTATCTGAACTGATATAGGCTTGAGAAATCTCCGACATCCTTCAGTTCTATGATTTGATATTTTCCTAGTATTAAAGTAAGAGAGTTAGTCTCGCACTTATCTTTACGACCGGGTATCACCTGATAGCTGGCACAAACGCTATGAAGGGCTCATTGCGCAGTTACATGTATGATAGTAGATTTTTACACGTATACTTCAATTTGTCAATACTCAGACAATGCAGTATATAACCGATCTCTGTTATATGTGTACCACTTGCTAATGATACTCTAAAGCCCGGTATACACCAATGGGACAAGTTTTATTATTCTAACATTTCTAAAATATGATTGGACAAAGTTTTAGACTTTCTTTAAGTGTTACCGGTCTATTTCAAAACAATAATTTATATACAAAGATGAGCTCATTTATTTAAATACAATATCATGAATAAAGGGAGATGTCATGTAATTATTGTATCTGGTTAAATTGTGTATATTGTGCTGAGCAATACTGTATGCTTGTAAGGTTTATACCAAGGGGTATAAAACAATCATACAATCTTGTCTAGTTTATAAATGACATACATGTTTGTAAAGGCCAATTACTCTGATATTCTGATAAAACCATTTCGCCCCACTGCATTGTTTGCTCCGCCACATTGATCATACTTATTTTTTATTATTTAAAAAAAATTAAAGAAAGGTGTACCTGTTTGAAGTAAGAAATATTTCAATATGTACTGAGATTATCCATGATAATAATTAACTTTCCTTCGTCAAAAATCTTTGAGAGTCCATTTTCTGAAGTTAACAAAAATGCAAAACAATTTTTTTTATCGATTTTGTTAAATTTTGTTAAGGCAAGGGGTTTAAAATAATCATTCAAACAATATTGTTTAGTTTATAAATGCCATACATATTTTAAATGGCCATTTGCTACATTTTTAATATTCTGATAAAATCATTTTGCTCCCTAACATTGACTGCTCCCTAACATTGACAAGAGTTATTTTTTATTATTTTTTAAAAAATTGAATAAAAGACGGCGTATCTGTTTGAAGTAAGAAATATTTTAATCGGTATTTAGACTATCTTGGATAATAATTAGAAGCCTTCGTTAAATTACGTTAAAAAGTTATAATGGAAAAACGATCATTTTGAGTGTAGGGCGTTCGCGCCTTTTTTAGTAACTTCGTATTAGATTATAAAAGACTTCCGCCGAATTTCGTACAGAAGCGTGATTGACATTGTCATTGCATGTGCTAGTACATTTTCTCTGCGAATGAGCAGTTTTTCAGTAAAAAAATATTTTGTGTGAAAATATTGAAATTTATTGTAAAAACGACCTGCTCCCTAACATTGACCAAATCAGGCGATGACATCCCGTGGAAATGTGAGATTAAACAAATATATGCACTTGTCTCATATTGTATATATGTAACCCTATGTTTGTTACATTACAACGTTTATATCTCAAATATTGAAGTTAGGCTAGCTGTATCTTTTATATTTTTATGTTACAGTTAAGTCACCATGACGCATTGATAATATAAGCTGGGATTTTGTTTGATGAATGAACTTGACTTTTTTTGTGTGTTTTGTAATTTGAAACTCTTCTTGCAGGTTTTCTGACATAATTGAGCTGACAACATATTCTTCAAAAAACCTATACAACACTTGGACTATCTGAACAGTTACACAGTACTTGAACACAATCAACAAGATCTGAGAAAAATATTCTCATCATTGAGATATATTCATACTGAGTGCAGTAGAACTCTATGCATTGCTCAAGGAGTGGGAAAGAGAAGACAAAAAAACGATGCAAATTTAATATTGAGAATGTATCCAAACAAGTGAAACAACCCCATCTATATATATACCATTTAATAAACTTCTTATTCAAGGAAATCATCTAAGATCAGCTATATTGTTATATTCTCCAAGATGCCGTTTGTATTACAAGGGCAATACTTGAATTCTGTTCAATATAATTGTATTGAGTTTATTCTACAATGTTTTCTTAGCTGACAACCAGTGCCAAGTGTTCCTTTATAATTCTCTCAATGCAATAACTGTAGCTTACCAATCTCTAAGATTGTCAAGGTATGGGTTAATGAAATGTAAAATGAAACATGATTCAGCTATAAAGACTTATTTTGAGTGAAATTAGATCTTGGAGTAATTGCATACTGCAAACAAATCAATTATCCTACTATGTGTATTTATGAAGGTTCCAATATGTAAATAAAATACATTTACATTGAGTATCTTCTAACCGATGCAGATATCAATATATTTCTGTGTATTCGAGTATGACACAGCTTTACATACTATAAACTTTACTAATTCTCATTTTCAATCCTCACCTCTAGCATTGTTAAGATGCTAAAATGAGGAATGTGTCTTCGGAAAATATTGCATACATCTAAAAATAAAGTGAGAATAATAAAGGAACATTTCCTGGCTATTTGGCTATCATTCTAGTTTGGTCTGGTACTCAGTCGCATCAATAATCAGAATTTTGGTTTGTTATGGGATGATGTACCAAGTCACAGAACTTCGTCAAATTACTTTTTCTCAGAACTTATTGATCAACTTGGTTTATGAAACAATGCCTCTTTTATACATTAGTTTATTGCAGAAATTCTTTGGACCCCCTGTAAATGCATTCAATAGAAAATGATATAATCTACAATATTGTCCTCATGTTTAAGTACATGTATATAGTACTTTATTTTCTGTGTGTTAAGTGTATAGTACTTTAGAGCTAGAATATAAATGTTGGGTCTATTAGAACAAGGTGATTAATAGATCAATTATGATTAGATAAATCTAAGTATGTGTACTTAGTTAAGAGTAACATTAACATGCAATACTTCATGTTATATCTAGGATTACTTAGATTTATACTATGTGTAAAATGACAATTTAGTCTTGTTTACACTATCTGATAATTTATCCGTCCAACATCTATACATTACATGGACATAACCAGGATGAGTGGGACAAGACAACTGCTTTGCCAAATTATGCATGCTGACACTTTTTCATCTGAAACTGTGAAAATGAAGCAATTTATTTCCTTTTACACTTTAAAAATGTTGTCTTGCCTATTCATATTTGCCTGGCTATGTCTCCGACATGTACATATTTACACATTTTTATGTCACCACCAAAAAGTGGTGACATAATTTTATGGTCTACATCTTTTGTGATGGGGGTCGGTGATCAGTAGTTGGTGGTTGGCATCAGTAACAAATGGTGGTGACATTTTGCATGTTAATGCCTCATATCAATCTTGTTTCTAACATACATTTTCCATATTGTTAATTCCGTCCAAGAGTATATCTTTCCTCAAATTTTGAGTGAAGTGAATTTATAATATTATACAGCACAGAACAATCTTATTTTTACTCTGGTTGTATTATTTGTGTTGTTTTAAGAAACCTTATACAGTTTTTGTTGCAAATTATTTTAGCAACACTTTTTTATTCAAAGATCTCTGCTGGGTATATAAATCATTCCAATATGGTAAATAAATGATGTCACAATATATGGACATTTAGGGAGCATCTCAAAAGTTCAATGTAAGATTACTAACTGTATTTGAACAGTTAATCTGTGACCCCCCACCCTCATAACTGTGTTTGAGAATGCCTTATTTCGAAAGTCACACCATATCTAACATAATGTGACAGTCAATTTTTATAATTATTCCAATATTAATAATAATTAATGACCCCCTCCCCTTGCTGTTCAAATACAGTTAATGCCGGACTCGACTCTATGGTGAAAGGGTTAGAATGCTGGGCTTCTGATGCCAAGGTCCTGGGTTCAATCCCAGCATGTGGCAACAGGAGCCAGCTACTGTTTACTAGTACACCAGAGAGCTGTTTACGAGAGTGCTACTAACTCAAAAATTGCAACAAAGTCCATGATTTGATATGATTATTTTGCAAACATATGACCCAAAAAAAATTCTGCCCAAAGCCAGAGACCTCAGTCTGATTCTGGTATTTTTATGTGGTATTTTTTATCTCTCTTGTTATCAGAAAATCTCTGCTATGTGGAACTAAGATCTGATAATACAGACTGTTTTAGATTTTCGAATTTTGACATTTGATATTCCATTTAAAGGTAGCATATAGAAATTATTGTAAATAAATGTCAAAATAGTAAATAACCTCAATTCTATTATATGCATCATGCTCACATGCACATTTAGGTTTTAAAATGTGGAAACATATTTGTGCCCTTTTTCATTTTATAACTTGTGTATGCCACTATGTGTGCAATCTTTTAAGTGTTAAGATTTATGAAAAAATAAATTTGGTTCTACTGGCAGTGCAAATTGCATGTCAACTATAAGAGTAATTTTTTAGATATTGGGGTAATCTCGAGTTCCTTCATCATAAGAATTATATAATAAGCCTCAGTCACAACTGCTCTGTAGCAGGCATACAGGGGCCGTAGCTTCACAAAATTGATAAAGAAAATCGACATCCTACATGGCATTAATGGTACATATTTCTCTCAATTTTGGGAAGCTATGACCGCTGTTTGGTTACCATAGATCAAATGTGACAGGCATTACTGCCTTTACTTACATCTTCATGGACATACTCTGTACATTGGAATAATTGTTTTTATGTCAACACCACAAGTGGTGCACATTGTTATAGTCTCAACTTTTTTGTGGACAGTGTTCCACAGTTGGCATCTGCAACAAATGGTAGGTGGTGATATTTTGCATGTTATTTTTTTCATTTGATTTGTTCAATATTATAGTGACAGACCTTTAGTTAATTGGGATATTTATTGGATTTTGTAAATCTATAAAATGCCTGGATGCCTATATACTGGTGCATGTTATAACCACAAACAAAACAGGGTAGAATATCTCATGAATTATGAAATACATGTACATGTATAGTAAACTGTAGAGTTGGAATGTACCTTGTTGCTTTATTATATCATATGAAAATTGATACTTTCATTGCATGTATGTTAATACATGTAATATCATGTAGTGTTTCTTAAAATCTTACATTTAAATGATAATTGAAACATTTAGAAGGAACATTGGTAAATCTTTTATACATATATATTTATTAATGTGTAACATTCAATAGATTTTTACTGCAATATTTTTGTATATAAAGCTATTATTTACTCCGTCCAGTGTGATAGTAGTAGGATGTATATAGCTGATGTAAAATTATGTTATAAAATTCATGATATTTCTGAGTTGGCATTATGCATACAAATGATAAACATTGAAAATTCTGAAATACAAACATGATAAAAACATTGACTTCTGTTACAAATGAAACAAGGCACAGTGTGAACAATGTCTCACCTAAAATCAATGAATGCCCAAATGTGTGTATCATGGCACTGGCGGGTCTGGGGGGGGGTCAAAATTTGGGCCCAAAATTTTATTCCGCGCAAACACGGAAGTTTTTTTGTCAGACCACAAGTTTGCCCCCCCCCCTTGTTGGTTCCCAGATCCGCCCCCCTGCATGGTGTAAAACAATACTAAGGGGAAGTTACATAATATATACAAGACTCTTGCAAAACATGTTTTTAAGAAATACCAAGCAGGCCATCCCAAAACTTGCTTTTAAGGAGTAAAACAATGTGTTGGTCTTTTTTAAAATGTATACGGTGCTTAACAATGGGGTGAGGATGTTAAATTTGGAAAAGTAATGGATCATGTCATTTTACCTAGATAGAGCAAGAATTGGGACATCTACATCTTTTTTAGAAACAGATTTATTTGTCTGAAAGGTTAAAAATAAGTGAATGATATTCTTGATGTCATGCTCCAGCATGTAACCAAAATTAGAAATTCCTAACCTAAACATACAATTCAGTTTGAGGGTGTTGGTGTCATCCTTCAAGACTGGGCATCACTTTCCCAGCTCATGGAATGAAATGAAATACCCTCGGATCAAGGACACTTGGTGTTTTATAATTGTCAAATTACCTTTGAACTACTGTGTGACTGGCATTTACTCACATGCCACATGAAGAGAATGATAATTCTGGAGGGGATAGTTTACACGCTTTTGCATAGAATTGTGATATAGTAATAAGGAACCACAAAAAGAAATTGTAGCCGGGACAGAACAAGTCAACTCTCTCTTTTATCCTTGTAACTTTTTCAATTCTCAATAACGTTTCATGAAATCTTCACAGGATAAACTTCAACTTTGGCAAACACCAAATCAAAATGGACTTCAACCAATGACAAGTCTTGGGCTCCTTGAATCAATCTTATATCTGCTTCATGCAATCAATAAAATCAAAAACTGGCTGCAAAAGTCACACACCAGCCAAGCCTCAAATACATCAATCGTGTTCTAATATCTGACAATGCACTAATGCCCTGAAGTGAACTAGGAATGCTGGCCTTAATAATTCATTAATATTGAGGTACTTATTTTGCAGAAAATTGATATGAAAAGTTACTGTCAGAATCACCCATTATCAAATCCTTGTAAAGGAAACAATAAATAATTCACCTACAGTTGCTTCAATGACAATTAGAGATATAGCAATACAGAACAAGGCATTAACATGCAAAATGTCACCACCTGCTATTTGTTAAATACGCTGAATGAAACAACAACCACTGAACACCATCCACAAAAAAGTTGGAGACAACAATGTCGCCACTTCTGGTGGTAACATAAAAACACAGCTCATTCCAATCAACAAACATTTTATGTAATGTGTCTGATAGGACTCAGCAAGTAATTATTCATCCAGGACTCTAAATTTTATGGTCAGATTTGAATCATTTTAATTAACAGTATGTTAGATATGACGTGATGTTTATGAAACCCACTGAGGATACTTATGAAACATTCTAAAATTTTGTTTTTTTTTATATAACTGTGTACAGTATTAAAACAGTGTTTTACAAAATAAAGTGGATTCATAACTGAAGAAAATGAATACAGTATTGTTATTAGCTTCATTGTTACGCACGAGATTTCAGTAAAATTGGTTCACACATTCAAAATTGAGCAATTATTGTAAGATGGATGGACAGAAAATGGCTGAATCTAAGCTCCAATATTATCTAATAAAAAGTTATACACTGTATGTAAACTCATGTGATGATTTTCTTCGAACTTTGAACAAATGTCTTATACGGTAAAAGAGTGCATGTACATTTATAATTGACATGATTGAATATGGTATTAAAAGCTAAATATTAGTCCCACCATCAAGCAACAAAAATTGATTTCTGTATTAGATTGAAACTTTGCAAGCCTCATTTGTTTTGAAATGAAGCAAAAAGCAAGTTAGAAGGCTGTTTTCCAAGAATCAGAAGTAGAAGAACATGGTAGACTTCAATATATTGCCATATACCAACACGTTCATTTTCACAGGAAGCATACTCAGATAATTGTTCTCTTTTGTATTAAGGCATGCCTAAATATGTATAATAGTACAGTATGTGAACTTCATCATACACAATAGAACTTCTAATAATATCTAGAATTTAACTAAAATTTGGCAAAACCAGATGTAGCCTAACAAAAATCAATGGGTGTGATTCTTCTAAAAAGGTAAGTATCAAATCCATTTTGGCAAGTCAGTGAATTTTATTGAACAGTCGGCATTACAATATTTGTGATAATCATGACCATCTCATTATCCTAAATGTATGGGCATGTGTTCATGAGAAATCAACAGAAATCGTCAGGTCGTGCTTAAATCTTCATAGATTGAAGTCCATTGGCTCAATAACTCTTAACAGTTTGGCCTTTAGTTCAGCAGGATATACACTGTACAGCAACTCATTACAGTCCTGCACTTTGTTGTGTGTACGTAACTTCAGTTCTTGAAATCAGTTGACTTTATTAAAGTATTCTTGTGACAGCTTTGGATCAGGTTTTATAGTTGGCTTATCCTGACTCCAATTTGCGGGACAAACTGAAAATACACAGTAACATAATATATTAGAGTATAGAAAAAGGCAAAACTAGCAAAGTATGAACATAACATATTGATCTTTAACATTTTTATTTATGAAATTACACAGCCATGTATAGGCATGGGCTTTCAACTAGCTAATTGAATAATTGAAAGCCAATGGTATAGGCGGGAACTTTCGAGTATAAATCGTAGAAACACTCAATTACATAGAATCATAGATTCAATTTTTTATCCGGAAATTCCAGATTTCTCCTATTTTTAGCAGTGACAGGTTGGTAGGTAAATTTATTTACACCAATTGAACATCTCCCATAATGAATGTTTTAAGCTAGCCGATGAGTGTTCACTTTAGAATGTCTTATATGTTGCCTTATCAGTCTGATCAGGACATGAGTGTATTGCCTCTCTTTTCAAGAATTATTCTTACCCATTTGTAATTGGGTATGAATTCATTTGCATATGTTCTGCCATTAGAAAATACAATACATGTAATATCAATATGTGATAATGTATTCATGAACTGAAGACAAAGTATGATAATTAATGTTAACAATGGAGATATTAGACTTATCATGATGGAGCTTGCAATTAGGAGGACTATATTTACCCCTAGAAGACAAGGAAGACTTGCAGAAGACAAGACTTTTATGATGAAAAATTCAAATTGTCATTCTGAAATTAGCATGTGCAACACTAACTATTTCTAGATTTCACACATTAAAATGCATCCTTAAAGTTAGCTTGACTTTTGCATCAATCACGATTTGCTACGAGCTTATTATATTTTTTACAAAAATTGGTAGGCATTTTCAATTGGGCGGCAATATTGGGATATCCTACTCGAGCAGAAGTCATAAATGGACAGATGAATGGATGGATGAAAGGCTTCTATAATCTCTATATCCTTCATGAACTATGTTTGGTGAAATAATCATTAATTACATGTTGAGTCACCATTTTACATGCTGATAGTTGAGCATTGAGTCTTTGCCCCCCCCCCCCCCCCCCCATTTGATAATCTATCCCCCTACCCTAACAAAAAGTCTCAATGCAAGACTTGACTACTTTACCTTCTCCGTGCTCATCTGTGAACTTGAATGCAGAGATCAGCCTAAGGGCCTCATCAACAGACCGTCCCACTGGAAGGTCATTAATTGTCATCTGTCTAAGAACACCATTGGGGTCTATTAGAAATGATCCTCTATAACAAAAGATGAAGCTTAGAATACATGTTCTTTATAAGTAGAAACATCCACTATGTAGTTTTCTGCAATCAAGTTAAATAATGAATTCTGCAAGTAGAACTAGTGAAGGGGAATTTCTACATGATTTCTCTATATAACATAAAATGTAATAATACATGTAATACTTTTGAAGCATTATTAAATCTGAGAACATAATTGCATAAATAAATGCACATCAATTAATTGTGTGTAGTATTGAAAATGGTAGGCCTACATGTATGTTATGGCAAAAAATGCTATGTTATGGACTTGGTAGCTTGGTATGTTTATCACTTTCTGAGATTTTGAATAAATTGACCAAGCATTTCTCAAATAAGAAAAAATTGAAGCCCATTCATTGTATTTCTACATGAGCTTTATATCATTCAATATAAAAACACCATAAATACGGAGAGGGTGACCATTATAATGACAGACCGTTTGAGTTCATGAACTCTTCACCATGATATGATCATGGTTCACTTGTCAGTTTTAAGATCATTGATTATCCTACACTTAGTGTATTAAATATATAATAACATCAAAAAATAAATTTGATATTTATTGGCAAAATGAATAACCGGAGGATATTGTGATGATATACTCCGGGTGGAGGATATCGTGACGATATACTCCGGAAAACCCAATATGCGGAGGATATTGTGAGGATAACTCCGCCAAATTGACTCTATTTGGCATGAAATTCATTTTGCAATGATATTATACATTTAGTACACTCCTTGTAAGTGTAGGATAATAAGAACATCCTATGATTTTTTTCAGAATATCATTTTAATCTACTCGGTGATATTGATATATGCCCTCGTTCGCTTTGCTCTCTCGTGCAGATATCAATATCACCTCGTAGATAAAAATGATATTCCTCAAAATCATAGGATATCCTATAAATATCTTGACTCCATTAAACTAACCTTAATGCTATTCCACTGCTCTCTAAAAGTACACCATAGTCTTTGGAGATGACTTTATTAAAGTCAGATAATAAAGGGTAATTTAAACCTCCCAGTCCTCCTTGCTAAAACACAAAAATTAAAGAATTAAGATTGGCCAATTAGAACAATTTTCGGGACTGTTTGCGCAATGTCACTGAAAGCCTATTAAATGTTTTAAAGTTGATAAACTAAGATGACATTTTTCAAAACATTCATCACAAGGCACTTACTTATTTCATTAAATAAGTTGATAGTCTGGTAATTTTAATTTCGTTTATTAGTATTCATTTTCACAGACTGTAGTTACTTTTATTTTAGACATTTCGAAAATGTCACTACCTGTAATTTGTTACAGGTGCCAACTGTTGTTCTCTCAATATGACTTCCTTGGTTCCATCAATACATACCATATAACATGTATAAAGTGATTTGAAATGTTAAACAATGGCTGCATACCTTTCTGGACTGATTGATCCATGCCAAATGACTGAAATGTGAGTCGGTGGATACTCCTACTACTGCAGTATCAAGGTCCTGGAATTCCTTAATGCGATCACTGAATGCTATGATCTCTGTGGGACACACAAATGTACTGAAAAACATTGATTTTTAAAATCGTTATGCTAACAGGTCATGCTTTTTGAAATATTGTTTTCTATAATAAAACGATTAACAAAAGTTTGGGCATACTACTACTAGGTTTCGTGTATGTTCTGTAAATGTCAAATGTTATTCAAATATGAATACGATGTACAGTATGCAACTATTCAACTGTATGCGAGGAGGAATATATGGAGAGGGAGTCAATAATGTAGCTTAAAATATGAAAAGCTGTACATGAACTTACAAATCCAATGGGTAGAAGAAAAGCAAAAGGTATTTTCCTTTGTAATCTGAAAGCTGAATATCTTTGAACTGGCCATCCACTACTGCTTTACCCTGGAAATCTGGTGCTACTTCTTGTACCTTTGCACTGGCCAACTTGCATGCTATAACAATAAAATTCAGAATCATTAATCAGACAATCTCAAAACAAGAGGACTTGGGAAATTATGAAAACAAGTGAAAGCATGACATTTTTTGCATGAATTTAAGTTTTATAGCAGAATATATAGTGGGAGACTTCTGAAGATTCATCCATAAAAAAGAGTCTGTGTTAGCAACACCTTTCATACTAACATGCCTCTCTGAGCACATTTAGCCCATTTGTAGCAATATTTGCAGGTATGATAGAGAAAATTAAAGTACATGTTTTCTGATAAAGTCATCCAGTTTTTTCCATAGCTTTTAGTCGACTGATAAAGTTTGAACTTTGGATTGGTGAGACACTTGCCTTCAGCATGTTACAGTGTTGACCTCATTACCAACAAAAAATAATTAATTTCTCACTCTCCTCTGTCTGGTCCACTAAACAATTAGTAATAATTAGATCAGGCCAAGCCAATTAAAATAACAGTTCTTTATACTATTCAATTAAATGTACTTCAGATTTACTTGAGATACTAAATCATAAAGATAATATTCATGGTTGAATCTGAAACATTAATTGACCTTCCATACATTATGGTCTCTAAATCCATAACATAAACATACATGTATGCTTCAAAGTTTCAACACTCATTAAAATCATAGTGCAAAACATCCAATGACATCCTCAAGGCCTTTACATGTACTTTTGCGACACTTGCCAAAATGAAATCCTGTGTTGGAAATGATTACCCAACCATTTATCCACAAGCTATTACATTATGGTGTATTATTTGAACAAATTAACTAATATATGCAACTATGGGCAAATTCAGACCCATCCCATTTGTATCAAGTCATATAAAAGAGGGTATTTGGTCTTCAGTTTTTATTATCAGAGTTCAACTCGACTCAACAAAGCAATCAATGAACAACATGCTTGGTGCTGCCATCTTTATTGCAGGAATTGCCGCAGCTCTGGCAGAGGGATATGGATGTAAGTACATTTAACTACCTCCTATTAAGTAAATACATATCTTTCGTGTAAATATGGGATGGGATGGCTTTAAATTCCGTTTTAAATTTCTGCAGCTCTTGACATTATAAATGAGACTAGAGTAACATAGCACATAAATAAATTATGACATAACCTACAATGACCAGAAATTCTCGAATGTAATTTAGTCTGTTTTTGTTTCTACTCCAGCCCGATGCTTCGACTGCAACTATGCACCATCAGGCTACAGCTACCACGTGAACTACTGGAAGCGTGTCTCCTCCAACGCTGGCTTTGAGGGATGTGCTCTGACAGACAAAGATGATGCCGAGAGCCTAGACAAATGGCACTGCTCTTCCGGAACATGCTTCATCCGCAGAGACAAGAACGGACGTAAGTCTCCCTGACCCACAAATCTTTAAGTCTGACATTTTTGAGAAAATGTAAATGAACTGATGATTTCACAATTTTTTAATGTGTGGAAATGAATTTTGCTAATATTTTTGGTAGTATTATGTATGGTTTTATGAAATTCAAAAATAGAGAGTTTTCAATCAATTATTCCAACCATTCATTCCAGTTGTATACCGTGGGTGTGCCAACCCAGAGAACCTCCCCCTTGGTGTATCTGCCTACAGACAGTGTGCCTACCAGGGAGAGTCCTTCTACTATTTCTGCAAGGGAGATCTTTGCAATGCTGGACAGCTGGGACAAGAAGGAGTCTGTGGCTACAAACCTGCATACTACGGACACTACAGTGAGTTTAGAAAATAAAACTGAAACTTAACAATAGCAAGAAGTATAAGAAGTATACACAAGGATCAAAGGATTTAATATTTTAGGAAATATTTTTGGAATATAAAATGTTCAGAATAGAATTTAATTCATTTCAAAGACATGTGAACTTCTAAGTAGTGCAAAGAACTCAATCAATAGGCCCTAAATACTAAAAGTCCATTCTTCTGTGATTACAGTCAAACAATAGATATATAACTGACAAATGATTAACTGTCAAATAATTTCAGACCCCTGTGATGGAAAGTGTGCCTACAACCCAAGTGGTCTCTTTGCTGACCATTACAACCGCAATGGCTTCATCCAGTGTGGATGTGACAACAAGAATGGAGAGACATGTAGCTGCTGCAAGCCTTTCTACATGAGATGCCCATATGGTAAGTCTTTCAACTCTTTCAGGTTACTTATGTATGAAAAGGCTATCCGAGAGATTACTCCATATACAGTTGTACCTGTATAAATTCCAAGAGGTAGTCTTTAGTCTGTTATTTGATATCTATGTATACAATGATAGCTCTATATACAACCAATCCTAGAATTTATCAACATTAATATGTTTGTTGTAGGTACCGCCTTTGATGATTCTACCAAGGTGTGCAGCAAGGCAGCCTATAATCCCCACTATGTACCAGCTCCATACCACCCTGCTCCACATGCTCATGTGCACCACGCTCCAGCTTATGGACATTATTAAATATGTCACAGAAATTAAGTGCACAATTTGAAGGAAAATAAAATATCAAGCTTTGATAATTGCATATAAAAACATGGCTATGTTATATCTTGAGTAAATTAACTGACTTCACAATATTAAAATCATAAATGTAACTTGTAAATGGCACTTCCACAGAGTAGCAGATCCCAACAAACATTTTTTTTATTCATGGATCTAGAATATTCTCTTTGGGATCCCTGTGAGTCTGCATATTTCAAAATTACATAAATTGTACTCATAGAGACTACCTAGTGCAATTTAGAAATTGTTCCTAGAATTGTATTTTCTGCCTCACCCCAAGTGTATTTCCACATACGGTATTTATCTACCATGTACATCTGTCATCAGGCCCGTAGCCAGGATTTGCCAAGGGGGGGTTCAGTTTTCAAACATTTCCAGGGGGGTTCACATTTGACAATTTTGGCCCAAATATGGCTAAAATCACTTGAGAAGTGCTCAAAATGGTGAAAAACTGCATGATTTTGAAGGAATTTTTGGCCAGGGGCTACGGGCCTGTACATGTAGGGTCTAATTTTTAGATGTTTTTAATTTTAAGATCTCTAGCATAATTATAGCCCAAAACTATTCATCAAAGTAAATACAATTGGGTCAAGTTTATCATTAGTTCATGAAACCAGAAACATTGTTTATTTCTAGCTAGTCGGTAATCATTAATTTGGACCATGGCCTTTCTTAAAATCCTATATTTGTTACAGTAGAGAGGCAAGTCTTAATTACCAAAGTCATCATCATCTACTAGTCGGCAACCATCTATTCCAAAGTCATTTGATGGTTTAAATTGAGACTATGTTATATGAGAATTCAGGGAAAATTATAGAGAATTTTGAAAGAATTACCTGTATATAGGTAGACTTGTCAGCATTTACAAATTGCACATGCTTGTCACACATTTATTGAAGAAATTGAAGTCACGCATAAACTTTTGCATGAAAGATAAATGTCATGTAAATCATACATTATTTTGGTTCATGTCAAGCAAAATAAACAAAAATACAATGAAGGTTTAGTGTTCAAATTGGAAGGTGTTCACATTTCAAGGATTTTTTAACATAGGATTCTCTGGGACAATGACTAGACAGGTGTTCGGATATACAGGTTTTACTGTATACAAATGTCATTTGTGCATAATATGAATATATTTTTCCAAATATTATTGCATAATGGTCTCCTGATTTCTTATTCCGTCAACTGCCGATCGCCAACCACTGTCAAAAAATCGAGACTATAACAATAACAATATGTCACTTTTCACAGTTTGGGCCATAAATATAAGGTATGAGAAGTCAATTTTCTATCACCATTTCCAAACCATGGTGGTTTGAAAGTCCACAATTTAAAATATTGTCTACTTTACTCATCCACAGGCCTCTTGAAATTCTCTTATTTTTAGAGGTGTCACAGATACCTGATTTTGTTCCAACCTGTGGAATTTAGTCTATATCCAATAGACTAAATTAGGCCAAATAGAACTGGACGTTCAACTTAAGGTGCCAAACAAAAAGTGACAAAACCATGCTGGATTTTCAAATTTTTGAACCAAGATAACAGAGTTCTGTTTGGTTCTCCAGTCAGTATAACTAGTTCCACACATATCATTTACATGACCAGGAACACAATGGAAATGGTCAGAATGACCATAAACATGATGAAATAACCTTTTCAGCCCTCTGAAAATGTGACTGAAAAATAGTTAAGAGTAGGTGCTCAGGAAAGGTCACTGAACAGAATCTTTTGACTTTTCCAGAAAATGTGCCCAATATATTGCTCTAAATGATACAATTCTAAAAATTTGATATCATTCTTAGAAAAAGAAAAGAAATGAAAAAAAACTGAATTGAAAATCGATCTATTTTCCTTTTTACTACAGCCATTATTGTTTCAAACAATTTTTATAATTTCAAAGATTGTATCATTTAGAGCAATATATTGGACACATTTTCTGAAAAAATCAAAAGATTCTGTTCATTGACCTTTCCTGAGAACCTACTTTTAGCTATTTCTCAGTCACATTTTCAGAGGGCTGAAAAGGTTATGTCATCATGTTTATGGTCATTCTGACCATTTCCATTGTGTTCCCGATCATGTAAATGATATGTGGGACTAGTTAAATTGACTGGAGGTCCAAACAGAAATAACTCTGTTATCTTGGTTCAAAAAAATTTCAAAATCCAGCATGGTTTTGTCATTTTTTGTTTTGTCATTTCGTATTAACTTCCATGGCACCTTAAGTAATCTAAATACATAAATCAAAATCTTTCAATAGTCTTTTGAAAGCTCATGACATGATATACCAGACCTGTCAACCTGGGAACACCTAAAATGAGTGACTTACAAATGTTGAATACCTTCCTTCAAATTGTGAACACCTTGGTCCAAATCTGTAGGTACAAGAAAATTGGTATCAAATGCATGACATTTATGCTATTCGCATGACAATCCGAACGAATTGCGTTAGTTTTTTGGCTTTTGACACAGATCCGGAGCCAGATCTAGCCCCTATTGGTAGTAGGCTATAAGAATAAATGGGAAGATGAGACACGAGCCACAAAAGTGCTACATCAAAAAATGACCACCCAAAAATATGACCCTCGTACTGACCTTTATTTTTTCCATCTGTCAGACATTGATTGATCAATAGTTACCCTGTAATCTCTTCTTTATGTATTAGTTTGAATGGTTGCATGATATCCATTATTGACGCTGTAATTCAACTTTTCCCGGGACATTTAAAGTGGGGGACAAAAATAAAACTCAACGTTCACAAGTTGTCACAATGAGCTAATTTCCAAGTTTCGTGTCTCAAACTCTCCCAAGCGGTAGAAAAATAATTCCCGTTCACTAAAGTAGCACAATAAATGAATCCAAAGCTTCATACCTGCAAATAATGGATAAATCCCTACCAAATCGAATGAATGTTTTCATGAATCGCCATGTTTGTTATCCAAGGACGTTTGACTCCCAGAATGCAACATCAGTTACCGTATTTACTCATGACAGGTTTCAAAATGGCGAAACAGCATTTTGAAAGCTGGCACGTGTCATGTTGCATTCTGGGAGCCAATCCTCCGTTCCGGCGCAAGCGGGCGACAAAATCACCTCAACATTTGAAGAGTCGGCATAACATGTGAATATCCACTTGAACTTTTGAAGTTCTTATTTGTCATTAGGGACACAAATTCCACTATATTTGGACTTACTCAGACGGTGAAAATAGAGCACTAAATACACTGAGGTAAGAATTTATTATATGTGCGACAGCATGTAATTTTCATAGCTTTTGCAATTCTTTATGATCCCCACTGTATTTCAAATAAATTTTCCGAAGATCACGTGTCTTGTCCTTGAGTATATTTATTGAGCTTGGACACAGAGGAGCTTATCTGGCAGAGGTCCGTGGCTTTTGATGTTCTGAAATATTTTTGCATGATAGATAATGAGATAAGCAAGAACAAATGCGTATTTTCGTGACATATTCTCCGCACCAAAAAATGGGCGTGACTTCAATTACTTCAGCAAATGCGTGACAAATACTCAAATTGCGGGACAGTTGACAGCCCTGGATATACTCACATGAGCTAAATGAAGAAGTAGTTTGCCTTTGACATTTGAATCGGCTTGTCAGACTCAGATTTTGAAAATTTACTCTTCTTTGACAGATGCTGACCTATAAAACAAATATTACATATCAAGATGAACGCATAACGTACACCTTTTACATGCATACAAAATATGTCATCATAAACATGCACAGGGATTCTTACAAGACAATAATTGGTAAAATCTTACCAAATTTAAGAACGACCTTGAAACAGCTGCCATGTTGAACTTCTTCGATGGGCAACTGGATTGATATCCGCTATTGACGATGGGCTGAATGCGAGTATTTATTCGATCACACGTGATCAACATTTTCTTAAAACAAAATTTTTCCAGGATAATCATTTCAAAATGAATAAAACATTCAAAATTCCAAGTGAGCAGTCGAATATCTTTAGCAATTTAAGTTGAATCCAGGTCCCCATGGGAGTACCTGTCAATATTAATGACGTCATTTTACTACAGCGGCCATTTTTACACAATCTGATGGTGACGACCAATTTATCCATGCATAAAATCAGAATTCCTCCGTAATTCAAGGGGCTATTGATGTTCTGGTCATTGCAAAGGTATGATTTAAACCTTGAGTCTATATTGCGTTAGCGTTTTAGGTCATTCATCGTTATGTGGTGTCAAAGTTGAACGATTAGAATTAAATTGAATTTATTCTTCACTGACTCAGTGTAGATCTACTAGGCTAGATTAGTCTAGCCTACTTTTTGCAAGGCCTGACTTCGTCGCTAACATGCTAAATATAAGAGTTAGCTGACGTTTGGGAGCCTGACCTTCTAAAGGTTAGAACCCGAATCTTAATGAAACCATATCACCTTTGTTGCGTCGATGATGATGCATAAACATAGCATTTGATAGAAATTAGTGTAAATGCTTTTCCGACTTTTTCATTTTTCATCAATGTTGACTTTCGGGAAGGCGTTGTAGTTATCACGAAATAACGCATTGACCTTTGAACTTTACTTTGTTGACGTGTCAACCAAGCATGTCTGGTGTAAAAATTAAAAGAATATTAAGCAATGTTCTACATCCGCCAAGCTAAGTGAAGTAGCCAATATAAAATTACCAATTTCGAGTGAAGTACGCAACGAACGAAACTGCGTGATCTACAGTCCCACTATTTGTCTGAACGAAATGCTACGTAGAAATATGAGCCGTCTGCTGTATTAGTCGATTAATAGAGTAAGACCTGTTCGTGATGCTTTATAATTTAGACCAAAACATTGAAGAACATACGAACCTGTAAATCGTGAAAACAACGAACAAATATTCGGTTTTCATATATGTTCGGTAATTTTTCGTATTGAAACTTCCGGAACTTACAAGGAAATCATTCATTTTCTCGGTCCATGATTTACCTCTTGGATGTTGTGGCAAATGCTCCATGGTTGACGGAACAAAGGTGATATGGTTTCATTAAGATTCGGGTTCTAACCTTTAGAAGGTAAGTCAGACTCCCAAAACGTCAGCTAACTCTTATATTTAGCATGTTAGCGACGAAGTGAGGCCTTGCAAAAAGTAGTAAACTGTTCACAGTTCAAGCCTACTCATAGGCAAGAACAAATCTAGATATTCTTTAGACTTTGGTGGTTTGTACTAATCAGCTAATAATAACAAGCATCGGAAGAGACCAAAATGAAAATCAACCCCCTCACTCCGTGTGTGGAAAAAGAGCTGGAGCCTGGCCTATCGAAAATTTCACCTCGGATTTCTTGTATCTCACCTCCGACTTCATATCCCATAATCGTCTCCAAATTTTACAGATAATCTAGATAAATATCTTAATGATGAATGAGATCACATGTGAATAAATATGCTAGACTAATTGCATGCTGGTGACGACGTGATGCTGTGCCTTTTTAATCTTAACCCATGGTATTAGTTAAAGAATCATAGAAATCCTTAGAGACTTCAGTCATACCGTGCATCTATTCCTTTAGCGATTTATTCAAACTTTCTTGCAAAAATTTAAATCTTGCAGATGTATTGAATTTTCTCGCAGAAATCAGCTATTTCCCCCACCATTTATTTTTCTGATTACCACCCGTGCATATAGAAAGTATGTCATATCATATTACTTTTTATTCATATTTGAAAAAAATGATGCACTCTTTCTGAATAGTTCTTTAATTTCCAGATGGCGAGCTACATACAGGCGCAGAGACAACATAAACAGCAACACATGGCAAACATGGAGCCACATAGAAAACAGAAACTTAAAGAATTCCATAAAAAATCTCAGCAATTGCTTACAGAGCATGAAAGAGACTACCTTTATCATGTTTTAAAAGAGTATCAAACAAATAAACACATTGATAGATTTATACAAAAGCTTCAAACAGTGCTCGATACTCCACTTAAACTGAATTTATTAAAAGAAATCCGACATCTTGTGCCATCTTCCCAAAAGCAGGCATTTGATAGGCTTGCCCCCTACCATAAAATGAGCCCACCAATGACACTACCAAACAACTCAAAGGGGAAGAAGTCAAAGAGCACTGGCCAACTTGGGCAACAAAGAAACATAGGTAGTATACAATATGTTAAAGATTTTCCCCTTTAGAATATATATTTAAAAGTTTAAAAAATGTGTAACTTAAATTAATACATGATTTATGCCATACACTGTAGTAATATGTTTGACTTAGAATATCTTGTGAAGTTGAAATAGCTTAAGATTTACCTCTTAGCATAAGTATCAACATTGGCCCTGGTTTTGTTTTAAACCCATTATACTTAATAAAGCTTATATTTTGAGATGTTCACAATTGGTTACATGATGTCTTAGACCCACTTTTAGCCAGATGCATGTACTATAAAGATTTTGTCTTTAAAAGTTATCCAATTATCTTATAATTTCAAGATAGACATCATCCTTTCAATTATATAATATATTTCAGCACCCCCCAGCATCAGAGTGGAATCACCTGACAGCTGTATTAGAATGCTGACTGTGAGCAAACATGAAGACCAGTCCTTAGGTCTATCCATACGTGGGGGGTCAGAGCATGGTATAGGCATATATGTCAGCGAGGTGGATGAAGGATCAGTAGCAGGTATATGTAGAATAATGCATTGCTTCACTATATATTCATTCCCTAAAGTGTAGTACAAATCACAAGAGATAAAACTTAAAGTCCTTTCAATTTTTGGCAAACATGTGTACATATTTTGATATTCTCAGTGTAATTCTAATTGCTTTTACCTTTCTAGTTTAGAAAAGCAGCTGCTCTGTCCTCATCTTTTTCCAATTCAGATCTATAAAATCAGCAATAATTGTCATACTTATGTACCTTATGTTCCCAATAATCGAGTCTGAAAATTTAGGCAGGTCCCACCACTATGTAGTATACACTTTAAGTTCTATTGTAGATGAGTGTGGGTTACAAGTTGGTGATCAGATCCTTGAAGTGAACAGTATCAACTTTGAGAGGCTCGGCTCTAGCAGCGCAATCAAAGTCCTTACCAGCACCAACAGGCTAAAGATGGTTATCAAGAGAACTGGACACATTCCTGGTTTCAAGTTTGCCAAAGAAAAAGTGTCTTGGTAAGGCTCTTCTTTGTCATTGACCTCCCCAGTATTAGAGTATCAGTTGTTGAAAATCTGTCAAAAAGAATGAAATATGTTTTCTCCAAATGAATAATTGTTTTGCGCACATATTTTAAACATTGCGCTGTCAGGTGGTCAGTTCAATAGTAAGGTTAATTAGAGTTTGTCCAATGCAATAGACTACTACAATTGTCTCTTCTTGGTCTCTAGTGCTCAATACAATAGCTTACTATGTTTCAGGTATGACACAGCCCAGAAGAAAATAGTTGAGGGTGACTTTGAAGAGCATGGTATCATTCATTCCCCAGCCTCCAAGTTTCTACATGGCTATGATGAGAAGCATGTCAACTTGACTGTGACAGGAGGGACCTCATTCCTTGGCTTCAATGTTAGAGGGGGAAGTGAATATGGAGTTGGCCTATATGTTTCCAGGTAAGATGGTTATGTTGGTAATTATAAAAAAGGTTCTATATACATTGTCATGGATGCTAGTCACATCCCATCCTTGATGTTTTTAGATGTAGTATGTATAATATGAATTTGGAAATTTGAAAAATTAAGATAAACCGTTACAGCCAAGATAACTCAACAACCATGATTTTAATAATAATATTGTACATCTGCTTGTTAAGACCAACCATGTTTTCTATTTTTCTTATTTCTAATTTTCTCCACTCCAGAATTGACAAAGGGGGTCTTGCAGAGCAGAAAGGACTGAAGCTTGGTGACCAGATCATTGAAGTTAATGGGGAGAACTTTGAGAATGTAACACATGCAAATGCTGTGGAGTTCTTCAAATCCCAGTCACACCTGTTTATGACTGTTTGGGTAAGATGTCAAGTATTGAGTTAATTGATGAATAGTAAAAGAATTGCAAAATCAACACTATGCCTAAACTGAATTGAGGTAGCATGATATTATTATAATGTTATGTTCATCAAAGTACATGTAAGTGTGAATGCTGAAGTCATCTGAGAATTTGAAAATAGACTTGCACTCATTTGAAATGAGAATTTATCTTGGGATGAACACTGCATATGCATTGAAATAGTTGAATGGCATGATAAACATTATTTGTTACAGGCTGTCCATAGGTATCCAGCCTTCAAAGAGATCTATGCAGAGTATAGCTGGAAAGAGGGAGAGAATAGATCACGCAGGCCTAGTAAGTATATGTATATCCTAATATAATATCCTTCCCCATCTATACCTTTCTCTTACATGATGTGATTCATCATTCAAAGTAAATGCATGAGGATGAACCTCAAAGTAAATTGATACATTGCCAATATTAAGGTTCAGGGTCATACATTGTTGATAAAGTAGTTACACAAAAATACTCCTACATTAAATGACACGGGTTGGCACCTCTCATTTAACAAATTTGAAGGTGCGGATTTTTCTTATACTTGAATTAGAACATTTGGTCCATTACTTTATATTAAACTGTTCCTTGATCTCAAATGTTCAAATATATGAAATACAATTTTTCACAAATGCCATACCCATCCCTTTTACACCCTCTCCTTTAAAGGCCCTGTTTGCATATTTTCAATGTTTTTGGGCAAAATAATCTTTTCTTCTAAATTAGAACAGTGGGCCTTTAATGAAAATAAAATTGCTCTTCCACAACAGTTGGCATTCAGACACCATTCCTTTATGTCTTATTTTACTGGTTATAAAGTATTATTTGTTGAGATGTATTTCTGTAATTCATAGGAAGAGTAGGAAATCATCCTGATTTAGGGAAGGGTAAGAATACTAAGAAACAATGGCTTGAAAAGTTTTGGCTGGAATGTTTGTTAATTGATGACATATTCTAAATCCTTGTTACTACGGCTGTATATGTTTTGAAGTGTGGTTTAATGCTTGAATCACCACAAAAATTAAAGTATTTTACCATAAATGTTGATTCAATTAACTATAACATTGGTTTCTGTTGAATAATTTGGTTGCCCGATTGGATTTTACAGTTTTACTTGTGTATATACATAATCTGTTATGTGTAGATTGTGTGTTGATGCTTTGCTTCTGTTGAAGGTGATGATGAGTTTGACAGTGAACTTGATGGTAAAATAAACATTGATTAACACAACACTTCATGCTTGCATGCCACTTATATTATATTATTTGTCACCCATATGTACAGTTTTCACATTCAGACTGATACCTTTCTATTGAATATTCCATGATTGTAGACTCATTACTTCTGTATCACAAAAGCATGCACAGTCTTCAAAGTCAAACAGGTTTTCACTGAGATATTTTTCATTTATTATTAAATGTACATGTAGGATGACTGTTGAGGGTCTACTGATTTCATTAAGTTTGTGTTTCCAATAAAATGTATGTGTATGCATGCTTTATACTTATTTTGGAGGTGATCTACAGCAAAAAAGTTCAACTGGTTTACTTTAGTTTACATTAAATTAATGAAAGATGAATCAAAATAAATCAAATCTAATTTTAGTTTAGGAAAAGTTTGCATTTTTGTTTTGTGTTTGCTGTGAAATTTTGATCTATTTTGAATGGGTCAATGCTAATTTGCCCATATGCATTTAATATTGTCAAATGTTAAAGTTGTTCTAGTTGCTCAACTGAAGTAATTTGTTCTGACAGGGACAGCCCCTGTTACCAGTACTCACAACAACTCCTGTGTGACAGAAGGCACACTAACTGAGTTCCCCATGGAGTCCAAGGTGGAGACATTCACGCAGACTGCAAGCAACACTATGGTCAGCAATGAACATGATGAGTCTTTCAGGTATGTACTGTTTCATCATAGTATACATTTCATCAATTTAAGGCTGATTTAAGATCATATCTATATCTAGAGAAATTTATATATATTTCAAGGAATTTTTCACTAGAATTGTTTTAACTTTGACAATGTATACTAATAATTATAGTGTTTAATGGGTTCATGTTTACTATTTTCACAAGCAGCACATATTGTCTCCATGTTTTTAGATAGTTTCAACAGTGTCAGTAAAGAATGAGGAAATGAAACAGATTGTCTTAAAGCAGCTTGGCTAAATTAGGGCTAAGCTGATGTCTTGTTTGCCTGCATCCTAAGTTTATATAGTTATATTTTGGGAATTAATTCAATATATTTCAGTGTTGGGCTCCAAACTGCAAATATCCTTGTTACCCCAGAGAGGCCCAATATGATTCTTCCCCAACGTAGTGATGTGGTAATGGTTGAGCGCAGGCCAGATGTGACACCCCCTGAGAGTCCTCCTAGCACAGTTAAGGTGACTAAGAAGGACCAGGAGAAGATGGTCCTCACAATATATCCTAAAGAGTCACAGACTGTTGACAGAGTGCAGAGTTTACATGGACCTAAAGGTATAGGATTAATTGCTCTCTCTTGTTTTTTCCTGTATTGTTAATCTGATTGGTTTTGATTTTTATGTCACCACCAAAAAGTGCTGACATATTTTTATGGTCTCTGTTTTTTGTGGCGGTGATCGGCAGTTGGTGGTTGGCGTCTGTAACAAATTCTTAAAACTTCCAATAACTTAACAAATACTGTTTAGACTGACTTTTTTTCAAAATCATCTACAAATTCATAGAAGTTCAAATCTGACTTTAGATTTGAGATTTCACCTTCAGTGACCTTCTCGGGGTCAAAAGGTATTTTTTCAACTTGCAGCCTTCAAATTGACCAATTTGTTTTTTCAAAATCATCAACTGACATAAGATTGAACTAATAATGTGAGCAACTAGGTGATGACATTTTGTCATGTTACTGCCTTGTATGCATTTAAGGTGAGCACAGTTAGCTGACTTTTGGATTTAGTATATGCAAACATATGAGTAAACACCCCAATTTTCAGTACTCCACTCTGTAAAGCTTGACTACTATTAACTTCATACAAGTTCAAGACTATTTAATATTCACAAGTTATTTTTGTTTTAGATATTGACCCAAGGAATCTGAATAAGACTAATAAGAAAGTGAAGGACAGTGATGGGAAGCGCTCCTGGACATTCAAAAATATATTTGGAAGTAAATCAAAAGGTAATATACCTCTACTTGAATAAACAGCCTCCTAACTTTATTCCCATTTTTGGACCATATGCAATAAGCAATCTTCAAATCCCATCCGAAGTTAGGCCATGTAAATTGATCAATGGAAAGATGGATGCAATACAGTAACCTTCTATCAGTAACAACATGTTAAAACACTAAGATAATTTTCAATAATCAAATTTTCAAAGATACAACATGAGCAGTTGTCAGACCCCTAATGTATAGGATGTAGCACAAGTTCATTATGTAATGCTGTTGTAATCATAAACTAAATGACTTTCTTTTGAAAAGATACCCAATCTACAAATATCACTTGTTTCCAGGTGAAGTTAAACTGAAGACTAAATCTCGTCCTAAACTTGATATGAAAGATATATCTGGACCTGTTGCAATGAACAACAATGAGGAAGATAAAATAAAAGGTATTCATATAACACTCGCAATTAAATATTTTGAAACATAATTTTTTGACTCAGGTTGCATTTAAAGTAGGAACAATCTTAGTCAGGAATATTTAGGTGAAAATATTTCAAAAATATATAGAAGCAATTTTAAGGTGGATTTCAAAACTTCATACCATCCTTTTGAAAACCTGAAGTGGCACCAAGCAATCCATTGACTTTTTCATCGAAAATCCAAGATGGCCGCCGTGATGTGTCAAAAACCATAAAAAATGACTAAAGTTATGATTTAATAAGTCAAAATAGTTGTATACTGATCAAACATGGCTAATAATAGTACCTATCAGAAGTTAATATCCATTTAAAGTCATTGGATCAATTTTTGTGTGAAAACTGTGGAGTCCCACAAGGCTCAACTTTATGTCCGCTACTTTTTTTGCATTTTTTGTATTGACCATGGCATTTGCACATAACAATGCATAGAAATCCATTCTGTAACATGTGCACCTAGGACCACATTTCACCTTGCACCCACACTTGACCAATGCTTCGCATGCTGCTTGAGGAAGGGGCTGTATATAGTGGCACCAGGAGGAACATGTCATACTGCCAGCCCCATGTTGTGAACTCCGATACCCATGTTGGATTGAGATTGTACAGTTGGCCCCAAACAATACCACATTGGTTAGCAAGTTCTTAAAATTTTCTGTGCAAGGGCTCCTTTTGTTGGTGGCATTCTATCAATGACTGTATGGCCATCACAGAACAGAACATCACAGAACATTTGCCTTCGTGCTGCATCAATATCTATCTGGTTGCTGGTTTGATCATATACTAGAACAGTAAAACGTTTAAGGGACTGAATGGCATGAACTGACAAAGTCAGGTTTGTTGTAACCATTTGTGCTACTTGTAGAAAAGCTAGAGTAACTTCCTTGAACACATTCCATAGCTTGAAGGGCAGATTCTTTGCTATGGCCAAAGAATGGTGCAGTTATATAATATGATTTAATACCTGTAATTTTTGAGAGGTCAGAAGGCAATCCAGATTGACACTTATTGCACCCTAATGATGCAGCCATGGCAAGAACTTCACCAGTATCTCCAATGATTCTGATTATGAAGTCTTTTTTACCCTCTGAGGTCATCTGTTTTACCTGAACAAAGAGTCTAGTGTAGTATCAGCTTCTTCATGAGTACAAGGTTCAATCCTTACTGTCACTGGCAACTGAGGAAAGCACTTAACAGATTCTACAATAGTCATAAACATCAACCTCAAAAATAGAGTTGGCCAGGAATGCTAACAGCTCAGTCTTGTTCTGGTTGTTTCTTAGAAAGCCAAACCAATTCTGGGGCATCACATTCCCTGCATAAACCATAAACCATCCATTGCCACAATGAATCCTTGTCAGGGACTTCCTACTGTTTTATAGGTAGACATCCCAGATAACATCTTATCTTGAAACACCTTCCATAGGCCGCCTTAACTAAGAATGAGACATTGGTACCATATTCTTGGAAGTTGGTAGCCACACCAGGATGCATCACATGGACCAGTGCAGAAGGATGCCATATTAAAATTGCATCTGCAGGTGGCTTTTAGATCCATCTGGCTTAGCTTCTTGACATTTAAGTAAGTCTGCTTTTGTTGTAGGTCTCATGGCTCCGTGGTTATATAGGGATGGCGGGAACTCATGGTTTTCATATTTGAAAAACTCAAGACATGTCATTGTGTCTTGATTGGCATGCAATGTAGAGTAATAGCAAAAAGGTCATAATACTTTCTCAGTTCCTTGACTTCAGGATTCACTTGCATGCATAGTTGGTGTGGTCTAGGGAGAAAAAACAAAGAATCATCTGAAATGATTCCTGAGGTCAAGGAACTGAGAGAAGAAAATTACCTTTTTAGCTATGCTCGGTATTGCTTGCCTTTGACAATCAAGACATAACATGTCTTAGTTTTTTAAACATGAAAACCATGAGTTCCCGCCATCCCTAGCTAAGCATGGAGCCATGAGACCTACAACTAAATGACCTTCTTAAATGCCTAGAAACCAAGCCAGATTAAGGCACCTTATGGAAGGTGTTCCAAGATTAGATGTTGTCTGGAATGTTTACCTACAAAACAGTGAGAAGTCCCTAACAAGGATTTATTGTGGCACTGGTGCTAGAAGGATGATTTATGCAGAGATGCATGAATGCCAAAGAATTGGCCAGCCTTTCTAACAATCAATGGAACCAGACTAGGCTGTTTGCATTCCTGGCCAACTTTATGTCTGAGGTTGATGTTAATGAAAAGCAAATGATAACTACTATTTGGGAATCTCTTCAGTGCTTTCCTCAATTGCCAGATACAGCAATGATTGAACCTTGTACTCATGAAAAAGCTGACACTAGGCTCTTTGTTCATATAAAACAGATGACCTCAGAGGGTAAAAAATACTTCATAACCAGAAGTGGAGATACTGATGTTCTTTTTCTTGCCATGGCTGCAGCATTAGGGTGCAATAGGTGTCAATCTGGATTGCCTTCGGACCTCTCAAAAATTACAGGTATTAAATTATATTATATAACTGCACCATTCTTTGGCCATAGCAAAGAATCTGCCCTTCAATCTATGGAATGTGTTCAAGGAAGTTACTCCAGCTTTTCTACAAGTGGAACAAATGGTTACAACAAACCTGCCTTTGTCAGTTCAAGCCGTTCAGTCCTTGGAACATTTTACTGTTTTATTATATGATCGAACCAGGAACCAGATAGATATCAATGCAGCAATGTTCTGTAACAGTCATACAGTCATTGACAAAATACCACCAACAAAGGAGCCCTTGCACAGAAAATCTTAACTTGCTAACCAAGGCGGTATAGTTTGGTGCCATAACCAAAATGGTTATCGAGTTCACAACATGTGGCTGGCAGTATGACATGTCCCTCCTGATGCCACTTTGTACAGCCCTTCTTAAAGCAGCTAAGGCATGCCAAGCATTGGTCAAGTGTGGGTGCAAGGTGAAATGTGGTCCTAGGTGCACATGTTACAAAAATGGATTTCTATACATTGCAATGTACAAATGCCATGGGCAATGAAAGTCATTGAACTAGAAAAGTAGGGGACATATAGTTGAGCCTTGTGGGACTCCAGTTTTCACACAAAAATAATCTAGTGACTTTAAATGCATATGACTATCTAATAGGTACTATTATGAGTCATGTTTGATCAGTATTTAACTATTTTGACAAATTAAATGATGATATTAGTCAATTTTAGTGTTTTGCCGATACATCGTGGCGGCCATCTTGGATTTTTGGTGAAACAGTCAATGGATTGCTTGGTGCCACTTCAGGTTCTCAAAAGGATGGTATGAAGTTTTGAAATCCACCTAGAGATTGCTTCTATATAATTTTGAAATATTCTGTGAACTTATCTCCTATTCAAACCTGACTATCTTGACTTTTATGACTGCTGCTCAGACAGTCACATAATGTGAGTTTAATATGTGGAATGACTTCAGACTACATGTGCATGCACAAGTAACTCAGGCTTACCTAGAACAGATGCAAGTAACAGATTCATTTCATTGTTTACCTAAATAAAAGCTTTTGTGATCAGAGCAGTATCTTCTGAAGCTGTATCTAAATGTATAATCATAAAACAAAAAGCCTATATATATTTGTAAGCTTGTAGCAACAAGCCTAAAAATCATCTCATCTTATTAAAGCAGATATGAAATGGTATTTTTGACCTAAAGGAATCAATATAATTTTTTGATAGAAGTATTTGGACGTGTTTTCTCATCAGTAGTGTGAAAATTATTTCACTCTAACGATCGTAATAGCTGCTTAATAAGCATTATTCGAATTGGTTGTGACGTTATTGGCCCCCACGTGATCTCTCACTGGTCCCCACGTGGCCCGTTTTGGTCCATTGGATCATGACGTCATAATGCCAAAATGTTTTGTTATTTGTTTACACAACAATCCTATGGTTGCTGTGACGTTGTGATTACTAAGGAACCAATAAACCAAAGCTATATTTTGTATATGACGTTGCTAATCACGTGGGGGCCAATTTGATCGATCAGTTAGTTTTATTTTGTTATCTATGACCGTTAGCAGTTATCTAACATTTATTTTAAAATGGCTATCGCAAGAACTCTACGTTGGGCTTACAATGGAGAAAACCGCATTTTTGTAGCTGCAAGTTGAGAAAAGCTATTTCAGTTGTCCTTTAACAGTTTCAGCCAACAATGTAGTGTCAACCTCAAATCCACCAAGCGCAGTGACAAATGAGGCCAGCAGTCATAAGTTCAGCACAGGGATGGGGTCCCAGTTGATGTACACAGAAGCCTCTAAAGTGGCCACTCTAACCAGGATAGAAGAGGAGGCCAAGAAAGTTTTAAATGAGGATGAGGTTGCTGCAATATTAAGACACTTGAAATGGGTGAGATTAATTGATTCAGATTCATCAGTAAGAAAGTCCTACTTTGATTTTGACTTCAGCCCTCAGCAATCAAGAGATACAATTTTTGAACATGACACATGATCTTGTATATTTTTACAGCTCTTAATTTCTTCAGTTAAATAAAATTAATACAAAGGCTATGTTGGACCAAATTAATGAACATTCATATGACAAATGTCACCACTTTGTAATGGAAATGGTTACAAAATTGTAAAAATGTGTTGCGAATGTAAAAACGGAATGCCGAACAATTCATATTTGAATGAGTTTGCCCTAAAATAATAGTTAATCCGTTAGCCGACAGCCATCCGTTGAATTTGCGAATGCTAGCTAAATTATGATCTTTCACTTGATATAATAGATATTTTCATTACCAACGATGTTTGTGTATTTTTAGTATGGAAGCAAAGGAGATGTTGAAGGGTTGGTGAGGCCTCTTATAGCAATCCTAGACAAGCCAGAGAAAGCTCTTCTCTTTAGAGAAATCAGGTAATATTTTCACAACCCACAACTTAAGTGGAATAAAAGATAAAATGAGTGGACGTCTTGAACAATGCATTTATACATGCATTCAGTATCAAGTCTGGTAGACCATTTTGCATTTGATACTAGTAGTCATACATATTGCATTCCCATCGTAAAGGGAGAAGCATATCTGATTCTGTCGTAACTTCAATCTTCTATGACTGTACACATTTGTTTTCAGAGGCTTGGTTTTGCCCACAGATATTGGCAGGTTTGACAGCCTTGTGTCTCGTATAGAGCTTGAAGCCTACTCTGAGCTAGCCACTCATGTACACAAAGCCTCTCCTGTTATTGGCAAGAAACTACCACAGAAGCAATCTGGAGTGCCTCCTAAGAAGAAGATAATTCATCCAGAACCAGGTTAGTGTACGCTAAGTTCCTTAGTGCAGTAGTGGAGAGCAATACATGAAAATTGATTACATGCACTGTATGGTCTGTTTCTACCAAAGCTCATTCTTTGGTCATGTCAGGCTACATTTGATTTAGACCAGCTAATATTTTATTGCAAATACTCAACTGGTTTTTGAAAAAGTTAGATAATACTTTTCAGGAAACGTGTATTATGCTTTATTGAAGTTTTTGCCTTAGATAAAATCCATCTATTTTTTCAAAATGGTTTCAATATCATTAAATGTTCTATTCTAATACATTTCAGGATTTAGTGGAGCCTTCCACCTTCGTACTGAAGAGCAGTATAAGACTGACCAACAAACAAGAGAGAAAATTGAAAATCAGGAGAAACAACACAAAAAGAGTGAGTTAAAACAACGTCGATCTTCAAAACGAACAAGTGTAACTGAGGCATATGAGATGATTGACTTTAATGGTGCTGTTAAAACTGACGAGGGCGAAGTTTTTGAAACTTCTCAAAATTCTGAGTCTTCTCTACAAAACTCAGGAACATTCTCAGTACATGAAATGTCAGATTTTGGATATGCTGCTATACCATCCACTAGTACACAAGGCGAGAAGTCAAAATCAAAACCAAACAATAATGGTGTAAATAGTAGCAATGATGAGTTATCACCTGATGAAATTAGTGCTTTGTATGCAGTTGTAGACAAAACAGCAAAGTATGAGCAGAAACATTCAAAAGATAGTGAACAAAAAAATTCACATACAGATATAGATCCTGACTATGAAGCAATTGACTTTATCCCTCCACCTGCGACATTCCGTATTATAACACCAGATGGGACTGAGAGTCAGCATAGTTCTTCAGAGGCTACACATACCACCCACAGCTCAACTCCAAGGTAAGATATCCATGAGACAAATATGTTCTTGGTTTCTTCATGTTTGTTTTCCTTTTGATTTTTATCACACACCAAAACGTTTTGACGTATTATGAGCCAGTATTGTTTAACCATCGTTCAACATCACTTTTCAGCATCAGTTGTTACACTAAATGTAAGCTGGTGACATTTTGTAATTTCAATTCCTAATAATGTTGAAGACCTTACCTTCAGTGCAGAACTCAAGAAGGGCTTGGTGCTAGAAGCCAAATATATACTACTGTTTCCCAAATATTTATAGTGAACATTCTGTTATGTAATGGGTTTCGTCCTATTGTAAAAAATCCTTCAATGATTTTTGTTCTTTTAACTCATTTTTGTTCTCTGTTTTTTTACTTTACATTGATTCAGAATGTATTATCTGTGTAATAAAAAATTGAAAATTAACAGTATTTATGTATTTTATTTGCAGATCTGGTGACCAAGGTGCTAGGAGAAAACTTGAACTGGTTAACACTCCAGGTGCAATATCATCAGTGCATAATACAGAGAGTTCATTAAAGGCTACACCCAGATGCAACAATATTATAGAACATGAAAATGTTGGAGCACTGAAATCTGCACCAAGACAAAATGACACTATTGAATATGACACAATTGAAGCCACATCCAACATGGAGGTCATCTTAGCTAAACAATCTTCCAGGCCAAATATCATACAAGATAGCACCACCCCTAAACTTATTAATATCACCCATAATGTAAACAATGATACTAGAGTGTCACCAGGTGAATCTTTGGACAGTACTAAAGAACAAGCTGGAGCATCTGTAAGCAGCCACAATTTATCCGGACAAAGTTCATCCAAACATTCCAATAAATCATACCAGTCCAGCAATCATTCCTCAGAATTACGTGGCCCAGTTGTCCATTCTTCAAATTCATCAGAAATGCATGGGTCATCTCCCCAGCCGTCCAATTTATCTGGAGAGAGATCTTCTCGTGGTTCTCAACCCTCCATATTGGGTTTGAACTTCCTGGGCTCGCCTGAAGACAATAACAAGGTTCCTAGTTCAAGCGCTTCACAGATTTCAAATAGATCAGCAACTTCTGATGGACACTCTCAAAGTTCTAACCAATCAAATATCTCAAGACATTCAGAAATCTCAAAACACTCAGGAACCTCAAAACACTCAGAAATCTCAAGGCATTCTGGAGTCTCAAAACACTCAGAAATCTCAAGGCATTCTGGAGTCTCAAAACACTCAGAAATCTTAAGGCATTCTGGAGTCTCAAAACACTCAGAAATCTCAAGGCATTCTGGAGTCTCAAAACACTCAGAAATCTCAAGGCAGTCGAGAGTCTCAAAAATGTCTGAAGACTCACATCACTCAAAGGTGTCCAAAAATTCCCAGCATTCAACCAACACATTGCAATCTACGGCTTCCAACCCAATAAAGCTAATATCTAAGAAGGAACATGTTGACCATCCAAGTCCAGCATTTGCCTCCAATGTAGATGCTTACAAACAGCACATGGCCGATTTAATGAAGAACAAATCTCAGAACTCTACCCCTGTAAACTCCAGACCTTCCACCGTCATGTCTGATAGCTCAGACAGTGATCTAGATGACTATACATTGACTATAAATGAAGAGGCAATAGTTCATAAAGATGCTGACACTGAATCCCGTCAGAGTTATATTCCTTCCCCAACCTCGTCTGTGGCCTCTAGTAGCGTACAAAGCTATAACCTTGACCGTGAGTTTGAATTATCTCGTGGGTCTACTGTAATTGGAGCTCGAGGTAAATATGGTGCCTCACCCCCTTCTGAACATTCCAGTTTATACAGTTATACTGTAAATGCAACTCCTCTCTCATCTAAGCCACCAACTCCTCCTGAAGCTGTTGTCAGACTCAGCTATGAACCCATTGGGAATACTCAGTTATCTGAAATCTCAGAAGCCAGCCCTAATCTTGATGCCAGTGGCAGTCTAGTATCAGATCTTGATCTCCTCAATAGTGTAACTTTAGACCTGGAGAATCTTGGCACTGAGGCATCTGATGAGAGCCATCAGAGTCTCCCACCTCCCCCTGATCTTGAGTTCCTAAACAATCATATTTACCCCTCCAATGTATCTACTAGCCATACTGGTGGATCTGTTAGAGACGATGTGTCTTCTATTGGGGTGGATAATGCTACCATTACAGCAGATGTTGATATGGCATCGCTATTGGACGGTCTATTGCAGTCCCCTAAACACAATGGGGAAAACAGTAACATGTCATTCAATCTGATCAATCATTCTGAAACCCAACAAGAAGAAACTGACAACAGATATAGAAAACAGTCAACACCATACCCAGGCACCCGCAATGCAGAGCCGGTAGCTGTTTCTTCACCCTCCCCTACTCCAGATCAGCCTCAGCCAATCACAGTGGTTCTTCCCAAGAATAGAAGCTCATTGGGTGAGTATATTTCAGTGAACTGTGTATGTGAATGTTGATGAGTTGGTTACTTTTGTTAATCAAGGATCATGAAAAGGAAGATAGATTAACTATTACTTTACACCTTTATAAACCCCTTCTAATTCAATTAGGGCATTGGCTTTCTCTTGAAACCCCATGATTAGGGAATTTAGGGTGAGGGCATATGCAGAGGCCTGCTCCCTTAATGATGGCAAACCACTTACTAAAGAATTCCCCATGAACATTTATTTACCATAATGTTTCAGGTATAAGTGTATCTGGTGGTAAGGATAGCAGGACACAGCCACATGTAAAAGTTGAGAAAATATTCCCAGGGGGAGTGGCAGCAGAGAATGGTATACTAAAGGTATATATCCACTGACAACATCTGACTCTGACCTCTGTATAGAACTCAGAAGCGAAAATAATTGAGCTCAAATTTCACACCGGAATAGCCTGACAATGGTAAAGTCAGATACCGTTGTCGCAAATGGCAGATATAACCGTCGCTTCAATTAGATTGTCATGAACTCACCCTATGCAGACAGAGCCTGTGCGAAATATTGGGTGCGGAGCAAATGAGCGGAGGGTGCGGAGCTAACGGTCATTTTTTAATTTAAATTTGGGATATTTCTGAAACTTAGTCGTTTTGGGACTTCAAATATACCAAGATATGTGTATTTGACACCAAATATCAATACAATTGTGAAAATAATAGCGCAATTCATTCTATAGCGACGCAGTGTGCCTTAAACCTTTCCCAGACCTATATACAGGGTGATCAATAAATAAGGTAAAAGTATCTGGCATTTTGTAAATATTGGTCCAAACATCCTGAAATTTGGTCAGAATATACCTTGCACATTTCTAAATTAAAACATAGAAATATATAACTTTGCCATCTGATTGGTTAATATTATAGTTACTATGGCAACTGGAGTCGTAGTTACCCGGGGCAATTTCATTGCGTCCAATTTGGACAAAAAATGATGAAAAGCACATCTTTTTCAAACTGAAAAGAAATAAACGTGGGTGTCAGCATTAATTGTTTTAATTTACTTTGTTTACATTGTTACATATTTTCTTGCAAATTTGATGTTTGATGTCACGGAAAAGATTAATATATAATGAAAACTGATGTGATCATAGATAGTCTATGACACAGGTCAATGATGAAAGACAATACCCACAGAAGAGTTTGATGAGAGAAAAGAGGAAGAAGCTAAGACTAAGAGGCCTGCAAAACGTTACACATTGCACTGGGATATGCTATTCTCACAGTACAAACCATTGAAGCACTGGGTTTCCCACTGTTAGGTCATGTACTATACTCTCCTGACTTGTCCCCTTATGATTTTACCTTCATGGTGAGCTGAAGAGGGAGTTGAGGAAGTTTCTCATTGGAAGACTTGAAGTCAGCTATCTCGAAAATTTGCAGGCTATGGGAAAATGGGTTTAAAAAGGTTTTCAAAGACAAAGACTGGAGTAGAAGACAAGAACTATAGGCCTATGTTAAAAACAAAGGACATTAAGTAGTGGTTATGAAGTATAAAATAAGAATATGATATGCCATTTCAATTGTGATTTGAAATATATTATCAAAAGTGCTTCGACTGAAAATTTAGTCTTTTGAAAGTTGCCCCGGGTCTTCATGCTTTCTGTTACTATGGCAACTATAACTTCAACCAATCACATTACTTTGATCTGTAACTTAATATACCAATTCAATAATGTTTGAACATTATTCTGTGCAAATTTTATGAGGATTGGGTAAAAGCTGAAGAAATGCCAGATACTTTTACCTTATTTATTGATCACCCTGTATTTTGAAATTATCCTTTTAATACTGAGTCCCCAGCATTCATAAAAAATGGTGTTCAAGGTACACTATCTATACAAATTATTTTTGCATCTTGGAAGCCAGGCAGTATCTGAGTGATTTTATAAACATTCGGAAATGTTTTTCAGTATGAGCCCCATCTAAATATTGGGTGCGGAGGAGCTTCATAAACGTACCTCCGCACCCAATATTTAGAGGGGGCTCATATCTGTCTTTATACTCATTGTACAGTTAATAATGTTCTACCATCGAAATAAAGTTTTTATTAATTTAACCGATCAAAATGAGATACGGGACAACGGACACTATATTAATATGTCGTTGTCTTTGTAAATTATTCCAAATTCAGATTCCATTGTCATTGACGATATCGAAGACACTATATATAGATTCATGACCCGATTTGATTGAAATTGGGCGTTTCATCTGATACGTCATCACAAGAGCTTAATTCATGCACAGAATTAGGGACGACAAAGTCCCATGAAATGAGGACCAAGTGATTGAAGAGTTGAACTGACGGTTATGTCCGCCATTTGTGACAACAGTATCTGACTTTACTATTGTCAGGCTATTCCGGTGTGAATTTGAGAAACCTTCAAAAAAGTGTTTTCAAGTGTTATAGAAGGTCGAAGTGGTGCATAACTTTCTCAAGTAAAAAGTAATTTTGAAAACTCATACTATAACAATAAAATTGCTAAGCACTGAACAAAATAACTGTAAATCTTATGTTATTGGAAATGAGGAAGTTGAATTCATCTGATGGTTTGTTATGTACTTTTAATATTGCAGGCTGGCATGAGGATCCTAAAGGTTGATGGTCAGAGTATGACATCTTCTACACACAAAGAGGCCGTAGAGTGTATCAGGAGATCATACACCAGGAAAGACCAACCAACCATGACAATAATTGTCCTACCTATCTGATTAATGACATCTTCTACACACAAAGAAGCTGTGGAGTGTATCAGGAGATCATACACAAGGAAAGACCAACCAACCATGACAATAATTGTCCTACCTATCTGATTAATGACATTTTCTACGCACAAAGAGGCTGTGGAGTGCATCAGGAGATCATACACCAGGAAAGACCAACCAACCATGACAATAATTGTCCTACCTATCTGATTAATGACATTTTCTACACACAAAGAGGCCGTGGAGTGCATCAGGAGATCATACACAAGGAAAGACCAACCAACCATGACACTTATCGTCTTACCTATCTGATTAGCAACTATAGTCATCATTCTACCCAGCTAAGACACAAGCGCAATGACAATAATTTTCCATTAAGCTATCAAAACATGTATGTGATACCAATGATACCTGAAAACGTACATGTATATACTATAACAGTAAAATTGAAAATCCAGCTATGATTCACAGAGATTGTAGTGATAACTGCCATGAAACCAGTTCTGATCTTATATGCACCTGATGTTGGTAGGAAAATGCAGAAGGAAGTAAGGTCATATTTTGATATGTATAACCTTGCACCCATACCTAGACTATATCCACAATTCTAGCCTCAACAATGATCTGTCAGCAGCCAGAATTCCAATATGATATGCCAAATTATACATAAACCAAATGTTATACCTGTACATTCCATCTTTTGATGTGAAAACATAGTCTGATAGCAACAAATGTACAATAGTATGTGGTACTTATATATCAAGAGGATATACAGTAAAACCTGTCTTAGTGAAACACATCTTATACCTCTAAAAGTGTTCCACTTGGGAGGTGTTCCATTATAGAGGTTCATTTAACAGTAAGTCAGTTGGTGTTTGGACTCTGAAAGGTGTTCCACTAACAGAGGTGTTCCCCTTATATAGGTGTTCCACTTGACAGGTTTTACTGTACTAGTAAGACATTAGTACTAGACAATAGACAAGGCTAAAGTCAAAATTAGATGGTTCAGGGGTATTCTCTGAGAGTACTTGTAGTATAATCTGACTACATATCCTCATGAATACTGTATTCTAAAAACATTATTTTTACGAGTTGATATTTAGATTTTTTAGAATTTTTAATATTAAAAAGATATTTTTATGTATAGGCTATTATATACAGATTAGTATTATATTGTATATTATTCACATACTAGAACAGTATATATCCTATATATTACAATGTGGTCAAAATGTTAACTTATGTATTGTTATATATTTAATGTATTCAATTATGTATTAGAATGATATTTAAAAATTCCAGTTCACCCTGGGCTTAGGGGGCTCATAACATACAAGCAACATGGTTTGTCCACAAATAATTTTATAGAAATTGAATATGTATAGAAAACTTTCAATGTAAATGCCAACATCTTAAAAAGTTTTGATCTTGCTCTTTGATACGGTGGGGTTGTTTGTTAAAACTGAAAAACAGAATATTTTTTACTTATTATCATTTTAGGCTGATATAATTATAAATCACCCATTTACTCCATGCCAATTACATACCGTATTCATTGAGCATTGAAATTGACTAATAGTGATACCATATAGTCTCTCTTTACATAGCAGATGGGTGGGGTTCCAGAGACTTGATACAAGTCTATGTATATTGTGGTCTTATTCTAGATATATTACTTTACTAGATTCCGTCCAGTGATGAAACACTTCCATATTTATAGAACTTTTATATTAGATGATATGATTTATTATTCACTTATATGTATGTTAAGCTGATATTGAAAATATGTTATTTGTTTTATTTGTTCATTGTGTGTTATACTGGTATATATTTAGCTCATTTATAGAGAAACAGTTATGCTTGATAAAGTAATAATATAATGTAAATGTAACAGTTATCTTATACATAATTGAACCCTGAAGATTTACATATAATAGTCTCTAATAGGCATTATTGTAGTCTGTCACTTTGTTTCTTTACAAGAAATGTGTCATCATGATACTCTATATTGTCTCAATTGAAATAGAAATAAAAGATTTAAAATAAATATATTTTTCTTTGGATTTTTGATGTGCATGTTTTTGGGCATTCATAGTAACATCTAATATTTCTAGATCTAGACAGGATATTTCTAATTTGCAAAGAGTCACTTTCGGGCATATTTTGTTGGACAACATACCTGCATAATTTACATATGATATTCATTAAAGCTCATGAAATTTTGGAATTAAGGAATATCCATATGCAGTGTATTTGAGGATAGAATGTTGAAGGGGATCATTATTAAACATCTGTTTTTACAGTCAATCCAAGACTACATATGGATTATTGGCATGTCATTTAAATCAATATACCAATGTCCCGGAATGATCAACCATGACCTCCATAGGGTCACAAAAATGTGAAAAACATACAGGGTGTCCATAAAATCTCTTTACAATTACAATACAAAGTCAGTGTAAAGAGACTTTATGGATACTCTGTATAATAAAAAACATTAGACTTAAAGTGCCCGATAAACTATAAAATGCGCATGCGCCCAGGTGTTGATAAACTATAAATAGCGAAAATCCAGGGTTTGTCACCACAAGGTAAGCCAGGACGTGTTGAGAGAACAGCTAGTAGTAGTTACAGAAACGAGAGTTCTGACGCACCTATAACATGGAGTCCTATGGGGAGGGACACGATTTTTCATAGTACCCTCCCTAACATGGGCTCCAATGGGGAGGGACATCTGTGAGCCTCCCTGAGCTCGGGAGGCACATACGGGGACCCCACCCCTCCCCCCTCGGCGTGGTGGCGTGTACATATTTCGGGAATCTCGGGCCCTAAGGGTAACGGACGCCCTACCTCACGTCTGTACGTTTACTGTAAGGGATACTATTCGAATTCCCGCCAAAAACAATAAATCGATAAACCAGTACGCGTCCCGTTTAACCTTGAAAGCCTGTACCGTCGGTACAGGTTCTGGTAATTTGATACGGAATATTGACAGCCGGTGAAGTAAAATTAATAAAAACGCGTCAGTCGTTGACTGGTAATCGATAATAGGTAAGACCGTACCCGCCGGTACAGGCTCGAGTGATTTCTTACATGTTGTGGCACGTGGGGCGTGACTTAAACAATAAGTTCGTCTCGTTAATTATAGTACGTACTGGAAACAGCCACTAGTCAAAGGGTATATAAAAAGATAAGTTCATTTAGTTTTCATAACGTTAAATACTTAATCACCAAAGATGCCGATTGGAAAATTTCGAGTACCATCTAATATTAAAACAATAAAAAATGGGGAATTTATTGAAACAATTTCGACACCAAAAATTGTTTTAATGAAGATATGCGACGGAATGTTCAGCGCCGTCAACGACAATGGAGTTGACATCAGAAATTACCAAATATGGCCAATCACGGGGATCACAAACGTATGTAATGCCTACGGAACGTGCGCTGGTGTATTTCTAACCCATAATCAAATGGCGCGACTTATCGACAATTTACCACACGTCACTGAAAAATTCATGGAAATTGAATCCAAGAAAAAGGCTGATGTCAAAGAGTGGGACGTTGTATTGGGGGCTCAATTTCGACTCAGCGTTCATCCTAAATTTCGAAGAGTTAATATTAGGGGTAAGGTTTTAAATGATTTGTTACTGATCATAGAACATCGAATATACAATTTAAACTGTCATTCATATTGTGGTTACATGTCGTATTTTTTTTTGTATTTTAAAAAGGTTATCATCTCAATACATACTCCGATGATCCACGGAAACATTTGCCCGATAGAAACGGTATCGTTATGACACGTGCGGTGTTTGAGCTATTTGTGGACAGCCTTATTAAATACGGGCTTGTTCAACCAACCGAACCTCATTGTGTAATAACGGGTCACGCAGAAAAAAGTGAAGCTGATAGTTGTAGTGAATGCAGTTATTTCGACCCCGTGGATTTCAGTAACTAGAGTTAAATATGATGTATCACACGGTAGAAATAAAGACATATATACGTCAATGTAAGTAATATAGTCATTCATACTTAGGTTTTTGAACATGATAGGTCGATTATTAGTTTTGAGCGTTATTGGAACATGCTGCATTTGTCAAAACATCAATGTTACTCGACACTTTAATGAAACTGAAAACGTAACACCTTATTACGTACTGAAACCATATATTAGTAGTAGTTACGATGTAAATCTAGAGACTCCAATGGCCTTAAGCTTTACCGGAGGTGTTTTAACTTTTGTTATCATAGGTGAGTTACGCGATTTTTGACAAACTATAACACAACGTAATGTTTGGTTTATATTTAATAGTGGTAACTAATGCTATATCATTTTTAGGTAATGTGTTATGGCTTAGAATGTTAACGAGATCCAAATTACCGATGGTTAAGGATGAAAGACAAAGGGAGCCTATGATAGCCATATAAAATTCATACAATGTGTACAAAAGATATACGACAAATAAATAAGAATGTATTAAACTACAAGATCTTGTAGATCAGAAAATCCCTTAATTTGTTTGTTTATTGTTCTTTAATTGTTTAAAACTTAGTGAAACATTCGATGTAAGTTTATTAATTCCAAAGTTTCAACATTTGTACAAAATCATTAATTACAGACCTACACACAAAGTTGCAATGTCATCTACTTAGAAACACGTGTATATTCGATTAGGGTGACATCTTCAAATATTAAAATACTCTGTACGATGCTGACATCTAGTGGTAGTTGGATATCACAACATTGATACAAATATATAACATTTATCGAGTATACATATTCAATAATTGTTTAACATTAAACACCGTTGGAATGTAATCATATGATATTGTTTACACGTGTATTGCGATTTAGCATTGAAATTGCGAACCGCGATTGAGTAAATTAGCATTTGAGGCTTTTTGAACACCGCATCAATGAGGATTTAAATCGACCTCTTTAAGAAAACTTTAAGACAACTATGTTGTTGTTTTTTTTGAAAATTACATGCAGAATTTTAAAA